AAAAAGAAATTAATCTAATACTTCTTAGAAAATAGAGTTATATAAGCCTCTAGCTTCTTTAAATAAATTTTAAAAATAAATACCTTCTAATCAAAGCGTTATTTAGCCTTCTTCTACTTTTCGTATACGAGAAGATAACGATTTACTAAATTCGCTATTAAATTAAATAGAAACTACTTAAAGAATTTAAAAGTCGTATTCTTTAGATTATAAGTTTAATAGTATTTATATTATTAGATATTAAGATTATCTTCTAAGAATTATATATAATAAATAATTCTTAATTAATTAATAGTAAAATACTTAAAACTTATAAGAAACTTAATTTCGACTTCGCGGAACTAGCGTAGATACTCTCTCTTACTAATACTCTTATAAGAATATATTCTTTTAAAGCGAAGTATTTTTATCTTAATTAATATATTCGCTAAAGGCGCGATAGTAATTAGCGTAGATAAATCTTCGCTAATTATAGACGATAAGCTAGCGTTATAAAGCTCGCGATTATAAACCTCTAATATAGCTAATTCTTATTCTTATTTTAAACGATAATTTTCGGCCTTAGCGATTATAAGACGTTATTCTATAGTAAGATCTTCTATTAATAAGAAATTCTCGAACTTATTATTAACGCTATAGCGGCTCTTAATATTATCTTTATTTTCTATTATACGATTTAGAGATAAATCTAATATTATAATAATAATAAATCTTTTTCTTTAAAAGATAAAGAGATTAGAATTATAAAGACGTAGTTTACTAGCGATTAGCTAGCGGGTATAAGCTATAAAAGATGTAATATTATTATAAAATTTAATAATATATTTAATAGTAGAACTAATCTCTAAGAAATATTAAAACTTCGAGGTATACGAAGTAAACCTATATTCGCTAAGCCTCTAGATATATAAGATATATTATTAAAATTGAACTCTAAAAGGAACTCTAATATAGTATATACGATATCGGCGCTTTAGCGTAAGTAGCGCTAAGGTCTATAACGCATTAGATCTAATATTAATATAGAAGTATATTTTCTATTAATTAAATAATAGCTAGATAAGATTATCTTAAAAGCTATCTTATAAATTACTATTAGTCTAATATATAGCGAAATTATTAAATTATAATTCGAGCGATAGAAGTCTAAAAGAAAATTTAAGAAGAATAGAAAATTAAGTTTATTAAAGCGATATATTAATAGATTTAAAGAACGATATAACGATATTAATAAGATTAAGAAACTACGCTCTTTTAGCGTCGCTCTTAATTAAGAGTCTTTTAAAATAATAATTTATAAGATTAAAAAAGTTATTAAAGAACTAATTAAAAGATTAATTAATAAAAATTATATAATAATATATATAGATAATAGTAAGATTAATAAAAAGATAAAAGCTTTAATTATATCGTTAGATATTAATTCTATTTTTAATATCTATTTAAGCTTAAGCGACTAGTATATAATATACTTAATAAAGTTATATAATATTCTTTAAGCTTTAATTATAATAGTTATATATTAAATAAAATTATAATTTAATAGAGTTATAGTAAATATAAATAATTAAATATCGATTTACATCTACAAATCTAAAAAGTTTCTATAAAATTTGAAATTGCTAATCGCGCGTTTGTCGCGAAAATTATAAAATTCGTCGGATTAGTAAATCTGATTAGAATTCGCTTAAATTCCACCGGTTCAGTAACTATTTTAATCTTTTTCGTTAATTCTATTAATTTAATAGTAATATATATAAAAAAAGAAAAGTTCTAATAATCGATATTACGATAGTAAGATTTTACGATAACGAGTATTAACGCTAACTTAAATTTGACTACGAAATTAAACGATTTAATAAAATTAGTCGCGTAAGTAATACTCTAATATAGCGTATAATAATACGTATATTAATAATAATATATATTAATATCATATATATATAGAATAGTACTTAGAGTGTATTAGAGTATATTACGTAAAATTTTTAAAGTTACTAAATTTTTTTAAAGTTACTAAATTAATAGAACTAACGAAAAGAATTAAAAATAAAGTTTACTTAATAGACTAAATCGTACTAAATTATACTTATAATACGAACTCGACGAAAATTATACGAAAATTTACTTTTTAGATTTATAGATGTAAATTATTAAAGACTTAAATAAGTATTTAAAATAGATCTATATAATATAGATAATATAGATTATTAATTCGCTAAGATATCTCGAGATAATAATAGAATTATATTAAATTCTAATATATATTAATATTAATAATAATAAATAGATAAATAGAAAGATAAAGAAGATTATTAATTAGCGAGAGTAAGTAATTTATAATAAAAGAGTAAAGGTAAATATTAATGAAATAGCTTAATTATTAATTATATAGATAAGAATAATATCGATAATTAAGATAGCTATTAGAGATTATATAATAAAATAATAAACTATTAAATAAACTAATAAGAAGCGAAATAATATTCTTAAAAGAATTTAATTAATATTATCGAAATAAATATAATTTCTATATTCGAGAGTTAAGCGCGTTAAGATATCGCTAATAATATAAATAAAAACTAAGAAAATAGATTTTAAGATCTTTCTTTATAATCGATAAATATTAAATATAGAGAATAAAGAATATAAGTATAAAGCGAAATAGATAACTCGATATATTTTTTATAAATATAAGCTATTTAGTAAGAAGCGAGAAATATAATAAATCGAAGAGAGAAAAAAAAAAAAAAGGGTTTTTTTTTTTAAAAAAATATAAAAAAAAAAATATAATATTTTTTTTTTTATAAATATATTAAAAAAATAAAAATTTTTTAAAAAATAAAAAAAACTAAAAAAAAAAAAAAAAAAAAAAAGTATTAAAGAAGGGGGGGAAAAAAAAAAAAAAAATAAAAAAGAGGGAAGAGGCTTAGCGATATAGGATATATCCCTTTCTAAGAATTAAGTATTTAAGATATAAAATTATAACGATAACTTATATAGCTTTATTTATTTGAGATTATATAATTGATTGAGAGAAAAAATATTTAATAAATTGTTGTGTTGTAGGGTAAGAAAATTTTGGGGGATTTTGTTATAATTAATAAACAAAATTTTTCTTTTTTCTTTTGAGATGATTGCATTTCACCACCTTCTCTGAGCATCGTGCTACCAAGGTAAGATTGGTGGTATTTAATTAACAACCAAAGTCCTTCTTCGAGTCGCACACCAAACGGGCTTCTCACGCATCACAGCGTTTCAGAGAGCGCTGATCCTACTGTATGTAAAGATGACGGAGAGGCCCTTTTGTCGATAGGGGACAATGGCAACGATTCCTGCAAGAACCCTAACATGAAAAGCGAAAATCAAGTGCGGGTCTCCCAGAGCCTTCCTGATAAGGGGCTGTCTCATTGAAAAACATCAAAGGCTGGTTGCAAGTCTCCCGGCTTGCCTTCTCTAAGCCTCCACCAAGATAATTGTCCTATGATACCTTTCTTTCATCTGCGATGAAGCATTCACCACACGTGCTTCGAGACCGGCTCTATGTTTTTTTTGAATCACCTCGGAGTGTTTTGGCCGGAAAAAAAGTAATCTCAATATCATTCGCGTGGTATTCAAGTCGCTAGCCTGCTTCTGAAGCCTCTGCCAACCACTGTGCTTTGTCCTTGTGGAAATGATGAGTTGCGTAATGCACTTACGCGCTCTTTTATCCAGACCCAGTCCTTGCTGCCAGCCGGAGGGTACCATGTTCTGAGCCTTGTTGCAAATTACGCGAGAATCCGAGAAAGCGAAAAAGAAAAAAAGAAGATAAGAAGAAGAAAAAGGGCTGGAGTCGAACTGAGGAGGAACAAAAGGGGAATCCACACAAGGCATGCCAACTTCACGCTATGCGTTTGTGAATTTGGACTGGTTGGGGCCTTTCTGCGCTTGCGTGGCAAACCTAGAGCTATGGACTGGGTATTGAATGGGACTGGGCTAACGTCAAATCTTGGGATTTACTCCGCCGGGCTATGTACACTTATACCCGGCGCTCGTCAGAATTCAGCTCAGATTCCGCGCTAGCGCAACTTCTCAAGGTCGTTCCTCTCGTTGCGTCCAACTTCAAAGTTGCACAACCAGTCACCTAACTCTCAATATCGGTATTATGCCTCATCCTAAGCCATCGAAGGCGATGAAGCAGGAGGATCGATCCCGTCGAGAGATGAAGAAAGATCTCAAGACCTTGATCGGACCTTAGTCACAGGCCAAGGGTCAGTGGAATGCCCAAGGCCTGTTTCATTTGGAGCGGCACACAGTAATCGGTAACAGGCTAGAAGTTCCTCGAATACGAGAGACGAATCCTCATGAATTCTCGCCGCAAGCGACTCGATACCCTCCTGCAGACAGCCGACCGCTGCGGCCTCTGCGACGCCTCTGCCCACCATTTACGTTGTCCCTACAGCAAGAATGTGCTGGAGGACGATAAGTTGGGCATCCTACATCTGCTAGGACCAGATGCTCGGGCTATTCACGAGCGTTCCTTGAGGGAGGAAGAGGCCCAGAAGGATGAGAAGGGTGGGTTCCTGGCCAGACTGTGGCGATGACCTGGGTCATGGAGACAACGCTCGGGCCATTGGCGGAGAAGTGGGAGCTGGTGAGGAGAGAGAGGAAGAGGCTTAATCACGGGTATATGGAGACGGATAGAGGGGATGGTGGAGTGGCTTTGGCAACAGATGAATGAGCGTGCAGACAATTTCGGGCCGTCAACGCGCCACAAAGCCAGATTCCTTGAATATGAGAGCGGTATGAGATTCTGAATGTACCATGAAGTCATTGCAAAGCAAGGGTGATATGATTGATACTGAGCTACAACTTGCTGCTCAAAGCAGCCTGCTCCAAGGAGGCCTCGACCCTCACTAATCCTGGCTCGTTCCTCCAAACAGTATCCATGAAAAACACTCTACGGCTTTTCTCCTCTGCACAATCTCTATCCCCACGCACAAAGGAGACCACAGCTTGAATCAAGGCGCCTCCGCCATCTCAACATCCTTCCCCTCCCCACCGCCCCAGAACCCTTCATCATCCTCCTCCTCCTCCTCCTCCTCACACCACCCATCCTCAAACCCACTCAGATCACTCTCGCCCACCGTCCCCCCCCCCGGCGTCCCCTCCCCCTCCATCCTCATCTCGATCAACGCCTCCACCTTGGCGTGATCGGTGCCCCACACCGCCTCCCCCAGCCCCTTGCCCCACTGCAGATCCGTGCCGAACTCGTGCTCGCACAGCCGGACGGCCTGCCAGGCGTGCCGGGACAGGGTGCGCGCGGAGGGGTGGCCGCCGTACTTCGCGCTGCCGTAGTAGGCCATGAGTTCTGTGGCGACGGTGTCGACGATGCGGTGGGCGCGGCGGAGGGAGTGGACCCAGATGCGGATGTTCTTCCAGCGGTGGGCTTTGGCGCGGTCGTAGGCGGTCCAGTCTATGCCTTTGGCTGCTGGGTGGGTATCGGGTCGGGGTGGCGAGGATGGGAGAGGGGGAGGATGGGACGGTTTGCCGGTGTGGTTATTCTTCTGAGACTTTGCGTCTTTCTTCTTGTCCGTTAGCGAGCTGCTTGGTACTTGTGAAGCTTTGGGTAGCGGCGTTGCGTGAGGAGGTGGCTTCTGAACCACGAGATTCTTAATCTGTTTGGGCGGTTTGCCAGAGACTTTTGGTGCTTTGGACTGTTGTGTTGAATGATGAGTACGCTTGTGGGCTTTGTACCTTGAGTAGCCTGAGGCTTGTGGAGCTCGGGAACGCAGATGGGGATGGTGAATGAGCTTGGGAGCTTTGTGCCTTGAGCTAGCTGACAGGTCAGAGATGCGATGCTGTCGATGGTTATGAGTCGCCTGTCTGAGAAGCCCGAGATGTGGACGACGCGGACCAATCGTGGTGTCATTCGGCCACGATAGCGGTGGACCGTGGGATAGGATCCCCTTACGCGTTCGAGGAAGCTTAGTGACAGCCATGGTGAAGTGTATCTTATGTGGGATGACTATGTTAAGGATGACGAAATTTCGGGGAAGATGCTGAACGAAAGTCGGGAAGTGAATGATTCACGACGTCACGGCCAAGACAAAGGTGTTGAAAGGCTCTCCGCTTGGTTCATTGTGTGGACAATGCCATTGTGCAGTGGTATTTGGAGGCCCACATTCCAGAGCTCTGGAGAATTTATTGAGAAACAAGGCTTGACATCTAGTATCTGAAGTAGCAGACACATGGTTGACTTTTGCGTTTTGATATTCCAAACAGCAATGATAAATCCTTGTCAACGTCAATACTTTTGTCCTTTGAATATCACTTGTGACTATCACAGATCCTATGACCCGGGATACCCTTGGAGGACAGATTGTTCCGAAAGCAGCGACTGAGCAACAGCACATCAAGCGTTTATCTCCATCATACCAAGCGTTCCACCCCGATCTCCTGCGACAATATGCCCACCTAATTGTCTACTCCATCGTTGATGTAGTCTTCCAAACCTTTACAGAACTTAGAAGGGTGACCATCGAGGCCCAGATACATGCTTGATCAGGACCATGAAATGTAGGTTGTGCAAACCAGCAAGAGATTTCTCAAGGTCCTTGGCCGTCTCCGTACAAGCCAGAAAGACAAGCCTTTGTTTTCGACAACAACATATTCTTGTTCAGCCGTTTCTCGAACAGCAACGACTTCGGCCGATCCCGATCGTGTAGGATGACATTGAAGCCGTAGTCACAAAGCGCTTGTGCACAGCCCCTACCAAGATCATCCGCGGCTCCAGTGACAAGAGCCCCTGCAGAAGTCATGGTTTGCGTGGAGGTATCGAGGAAGGCATGAGAGTCGTAGATAAAAAGCAGACGTGGTGAATGAGTTCTAGAGGAGATAGAGAGTGGTAGAAATGCTGATGCAATGCATCAAGTCTTCAAAGGTCATCTTAGCTTCCCACCTACATCTGATCCTCAACGTCAGAAGAAGCGGCTTGTATTTTTCAATAGACAACGATGCTGTCTCTCGAGCAGCAACTGACAGCCACGCCTGTATTGGCTTTTCCGTGTCGCAGCTGAAGGAAAGATCAGGATTCTGACAGCTTCATGATGAATGAAAGCTGTCTGTTATTTTATGGAGTTGTGCCAAGGATATAGGGCTGAGAGGTTGCAACCCCACACCCCACTGACCCCTTTGGACTTTAGCTAGAGTACCTTATTTGCTGCCACTTCTGCCCGGCACTCTCCAATCCCTACCATAATCTATAGCTAGGTAATGCTAACAACGAGCCGAATATATGGGCACTGTTGACTATCGATAGATTTTGTTTTGTCCACATGATTTGATCCTACCCGAAATATGGATGCTGTCGCGAGCCTGATTGTCGCACGACCTCGAACGGGCCACCCGTTTTCCAAGATCGACGCTGGGGATGTCTAGGAACCCGGTTATAAATATCGGCCGCCAGATCGCCAGATCGGAGCATTTTGGCCTCGGCGGCCAAGAGACCAGGGGCGCCAGGGATGTTGGTTATTTGAAATACGGCCACTGCCACGCCTGGTCAAGAATTCAGTAGGTAATTAGGTATATTGAATGTAAGGTATATACTCTATAAGAGTGTCCAATCATGTCGCAGGAGGCAGATATTTTGTGACTACTCGCTACTCGTCACGCATCGAGGTGCATCTCGGCACTCGTAGCACAATGAATCATACTTTAGAATTTGCATGATCTGCGTTGGATTTGATAAGCTTCCCCTGTTCTAGCTTGAGGCGTAATCTCCGATCATTCCAGACTCTTGCCACAGTCCCTAGTCCCACAACGTGCCCGGCCCCACGCTTAGGAGAGACTGATTCACTGACAGCGTGGAGGTGAGCATGGACCATGGCTGATGACATGAAAGGTCTTGAAGAAAAGACAAGGAAGAGAAAGTCTGTAAAGCTCTGTTGGCCTGTGAGCCCCAACGCGACATCCGCTGCCGCCTTCTGAGCCGTTCCAGCGACTTCCTCTCAAACAGAAGGCTGTCCTCGCTACTAACATGCGTGCATGGGTACAATTACCAAGGTACTAGTACCTCACGAATGATCAAGTGTTCCATTCTCCTAGTCTTCCCGTTGGCACACGCTTGTTCCTGTCCATCGCTCGACACGGGATTGCTCCTCTGTGAAATACCTACCTTACGGTATCCTTATTATTAACTCAACGTATCTCAAGCTGATGCTTCCTACAAAACAAGCCAGATCCCTCTCGTGAGTGGATGAGATTTATCATGACATCAATTTGGTAGCTCTCGTACCGCCGTGACAAAGCAGTTGAGTGCAGTGCGTGGCGGTTTCTTTAAAATTGATGCATGCTGTAGCCGTGCATCCGAAACGCTGACCGAGATCCACAATCTCCAACGTCAACTTTGACTTTCCTTCCAAAATCACCCTCGGTACCTCGAGAATTCCTCCCTCCATCTCTACTCCATTGCTCTTACAGTCTTCTGCCCATCCCAAGAAACTGCTCGTCTTGAAATCCTCATACACACTCTCCCCCATCGCCAGCCAATATGGTCTATTCTCTCACTTACCGTCGTCCCCCATATGTCGACTCCGCTCGGGCGTCCGTCCTTGGGGACGAGAAGACCAAATCCATTGGAGAAGCGTCCATCGATTCCCAGGCCTCTGGAGGTTCTGGAGGAATGTCCTTTGGTATCCCCGATGCCTTGTCCTTTGACCGCATCATCACTGGAGGCACTTGCCCGGTAAGTTGACTTCCTGTCTTGTTCCATCCATGCAACCCAGGCTTCAACTTCACCCTGCTATATCAGCAGGACACTGAAGCTAGCAAGTGATCAACATCTACTCTGCACATCCACTGGTATTCCCAATATCTGAATCAATGTGATCTGCTTGGCTGATCCAAATGCCTTCTAGCCATGCACAGCACGCGATTTCATGAACTACCTCGTCTACATTGAACACTCCGCCGAGAACCTCCAATTCTACCTCTGGTACCGTGACTACCTCAAGCGTTTCAACGAGCTTCCATCAAACGAGCGTGCTCTTGCACCAGAATGGTCCGCAGAACAGGCGGAGATAGATGCACAGGCAAATCAGGGAACACCAGGACCCAAGCAGCAAATCAGTGCTGAGACTGCAGCTGTGTTCAAAGGCACAGATTTCGCTCCCCCTACTGCGAGTGTGGTGGAGGTGAAAGGCAACCCTTTCAATACGCCACCAAGAACCCCAAATGGCGGAGAATACAGAGAAAGTGTAGCTCCATCCGAGCGTGCGTGGAGCGAGAACTGCTCCACCTTGAACTCCAACACCAACAGATCGTTCCAGACAAAGACTGCAGGTGCTTTTCAAGGAGCTGACCTCAAATGGCAACCATGTGAGCGCTCATTTTTCTTTACGAAGCAAATGTACGCTAATATGTTGGCAGTCACGATCCAGCCGTTCCGAGAAGAAATCTCACGCATCATTGCAATCTATATAGCCGATGGTGCACCTCGCCAGCTGAACCTCTCAGCGAAGGAACGGATGACTCTACTGCACGCCTTGGCTAACACCACTCACCCCACAGCCTTTCGAGTTGTCGTCCACACGGTCGAATGGTCTCTACGTCACCAAGCCCACCCCAACTTCATTCGGTGGACCATTTGTAACGGCAACGCACCCCGTGTCGTCTTCGCCCGTGGTCTTGGTGTTGCCGGCATCCTTGGAGGTATCATTTGTGCCATTCTCATCACTCTCAGCAATGCTGGTCGAGGCTGGAGGGTACTTTCGGCCATTGGCTTCATGATCGGTGTGGCAACACTCATTGCTGCCTGGAAGGGCATGTGCGTCGTATGTCTTCTCTGAAGCCCTGAAACATTAAGCCAAGCTGCCATCGCTAATTCTACCCAGGTCCTCCACGGTATGCACCATCGCCATCTCCGCCCATGGGAGCTTTTCGCTGAAGACGACGACGAATCCTCCTGGGACATGGGCAAAGGTTCTTTCGACACTGTCGGCAGCGCCAATAGCTACGAAGACGAACCCTGGGTCGCCAAATACGAGAAACGCAACATTATCCGGAAAGTCTTCGATCGTGAAGTCTGGATCCAAGAGCCGGCTCTTCGGCAAATCCAGGACACCATCTTCGTGCAAGCTCTTGGTGGTGCACTGATCATCACTGCTATCTCCGTGGGGATCTTTTGCGCGTTCCCCAAAGGCAACTACTATTAGGTGCATATGATCTGCATAGCGTTGCATTGAATCTGGCATCTGACATGCATGCAACGCTGGCCGGAGATGCTCGGTCAGATTCGCGTCCGCTTGCAATACCCAGACACACTATTCGTATATACTTTCATTCTGTTATCTTGCTTTTCTGGCTTATCACCACCGTCTGTTCATGTTGGCGCCTGCATGGCGTTAGAATATCATACCCCATTTGGCGAAGGCGCTTAGACGAACGAAACGGGAAATATGCTGCTTATTGGAGCTTGAGAGAGATACCTCTGGGGGTTGCCTGTGTGTGAGGACGGTATACTACATCATGACTGTAATGCATGGCTAGAAAAAATAAGAGAGAAAATCACCGAACGGCGTCTCGTTGACTGGCAAACACGATCGGCTGGTGGGGACTTGCAGCAGCATTGTGACTGGTAAATCTCAATTTTCCATGGTTGTTGCCTTTCATACACTCATTTCCTCATTTTCTCCGAAGCATATCTTCATCAGCCGCATCTTAACACGTCTGAGCCAGCTACTTCAGCTCTCTTTCTCCCCACATACGCGAGATATCCAAGGACATCCATTATCCTCTGGCCAACAAGTCAATTAGATCCATTGCCATGGTGACCCCACCTATCAAGTTTCATATCGTCAACTTCCATATTTCAAAGCTTCCCTCTTTCTGAGCTAGGGCCTGGTAGTCATTTGTCGTAATACTGTGCCATCTCCAGTCCGACCCTCTTGTAGCCGCATTTGACGTAGAAGCCTTCGTTCGTTTCCGAGCAGTCCAGAATTGTCTGAGGGGAACGATGTCAGCTCGGGAGGACCGAAACGGTATTCGAGTGGTTGAACATTGGGGTTCGCGAGTGCGAGTGTAAGCGTGGAGTGAAGAGTGGGAGTCGTGGGGGGAAAGGGTGGGGGAGTGGGGTGTCTGACAAGGGCGTGGAGATGGCAGGAGGGGGTGAGATATTGTGTCCAGGCAATGACGATACAGCAGTGCTTCGCATGCGATCGAACCAAGGCCCATCTGAGCGACCGCGTGGGGACAATAGCCCTAAAGGCAGAACAGAATGTAAGAGAACTGACCTTGTAGCACCCAACCTTCTCAGCTATATAGTCGAGAGCCTCTATTATACGGAGGCCTAGCTTCTTTCCTTGCTGATCTTTGTTGACGACGATATCTTCGATATGGCCCACCAAGCCGAGATTGTGTATGCTGTCCGAAACAGGTAAATCAGCGCATGCTACTGGCAGCTCCAAGAACACCACTCACAACTTCCTCTCCACCACCACACATCCCGTCCCCACCACCTTTTCTTCCCCATCACACACCACCAGTATGTAATACTCATCCCCCCGCCTAGCCATCCAATCATATCGCTCAATCCATGCTTGCTCCGAGATCTCGCCAACGGTCGTGAGGACTCTGAGTACGTCCAGAACGCCAGCTTTGTAGTCTGAGCGTTGCAAGGGACGCATTGTGTACTTTTCCGGGAGAGCGGAGGTGACGTCGGCGGAAATGAGGGAGGGGGAGAAGAGAGGGCCGTGAGTGGAGTGGGACATGTTCTCGGCACCGGTGATGGCTACTGGGGATTGCCACATGATGGCAGCAAGAGGAGGTTCGATTGGATAGCGGAAGGGTACTCTATTGTCGTGTGCGCTAGGTCTTATGAGTTCGCAATTGACATGGATAGGTTGAGAACTTGAGACTGGCTGGAAAGTTACATGAAGCTTGATAGAGCTGTGAGCGGGGCTGGTTGTGCGGGAAAGCTATCCTTTCGGGCTTTCCGGTTCGGGTACTCGTGGGGGGCCTCGCCTCCGGGGCAGGTTCCTGGCTACCTAAAAAAGCTCCCCTAGGGAAGGCCTAAGCGCATTGACGAATGACGATGAATTCGGGCTGAACAGATGCCTGCAAAAACATTAGAATCTGACGACCTCGCTTCCGAAAGTACAGAAATTCATCCTTCACGACGATTGCCAAACGAAGCATGGCTTCCAATACTCCAGCATTCCTGCCAGTTCCCGCCTGACGTTTTTGAGTCCGTGTCTCTCAACCTGGTGAAGAATCCGAACATCAACTCCAGCCTGCTCTTTCGAGCGGATATCCTCTACGATAGCTCGAACAATGAGCTCACCAATGCGCAGCTGTCGGAGAATGAGGCGGCGCAGGTGCAGTACTGGTTGCGAGAATACCATATCCGAGATGGGGAGCTTCCAGGCTTCGAGGTCAAGAGGACTATCATCCGGCGGATGATCCCTCGAAATCCTCAATTGGACAAGCCAATTGCCCAGACATGTCTCCTACTCCAATCATCTACCGATGATACTAGAGACCCGAAGCGCTCTCTTGTCATCTACGTACCACACGCTGCGAGTATCGACGAGGTTCCCTGGTACCATCCAAGAGTACAAGCACTGGCTTACATGCATTGCTGGAACCCAAGTGCATCCTCTGAAGATTCTCAAGGCAACATCTCTCTACACTACCGCCTGTATCCGTCCGAGTCTCTTCCTTTATCCTCACGCCTTCTCCGGACGGGTCAGCATCTATTGTCGACAATCCACAAACACGGCCAGGGCCAATGGACGGGCTACACGAAACGGGTACACCATGACCAGGTGGTCTCACAGCAGCGGGTCCAGAATACTTACACAGAGCTCAAGCAGAGGCATGCTCAGAGACTATGTGATCGCTGGGTCGAGAAGACGGAGCCGAGCAAGCATGTCTTCGAGGATCTGGGCATCGCAGCTTTCTTGATCGAGCTGTGGAAGGATATGTACGATGCCGGAAATGGCCTGGTTGATCAGGACGGAGATGAGCCTACAAACAAACAGGGGGCTTTCCCAGGCTTTGTCGATATCGGATGCGGCAATGGGGTGCTCGTTGATACACTGCTGCGGGAAGGATACTTGGGCTGGGGCTTCGATGCCCGCAGACGGAAGACGTGGGATACATTTGATGCATCGATCCAAAGTCAGCTTAAGGAGATGATACTCATCCCGCAGCCGTTGTTCGAAATACAGCACGACACTATGTACCCCATCTACGCTAATGGAGGCATACTATCGGAGGGGCTCTCTTCCGCAGCCACCACAGAAAAAGCCATGGGCGATGTGCCAGCATGGCACAATGGCATATTCCCTCAGGGTACCTTTATCATCTCTAATCACGCAGATGAGCTGACCCCTTGGACACCTCTCCTCGCCTCCATCTCCTCCTCTCCCTTCCTCGCCATCCCATGCTGCTCACACAATCTATCCGGTCTTCGTTTTCGCGCTCCATCTGTTTTCAACAACAACTCTGCAGACGCACTAGCACCTTCCTATTTCGCTGCCCACATCAACAAATCCAAGTCCATAGCTATCGCCATTGCCTGTCCAGACAATGAGGAGATATTTGGCCCGGGACCAGAACAAGGCGACCTCAAGGACCTCAATGCAAAGGCTCGAGCAAAGCAACCCTCAGCTTATTCTAGCCTCTGCGATTGGGTTGCCCACTTAGCGGCTAGGGTGGGATACAGGGTCGAGAGAGAAATGTTGCGGATGCCTAGCACAAGGAACGTTGGGATCGTTGGTCGAGCTATGATGTCGGGGTTTGAAGGAGAAACATTAGACACGAGGCGAGAAAGGCTTAACGAGATAGTAACAAATGAGAAAGCGGATGGCGCGCAATGGGTTGAAAGAGCCAGGGGCCTGATGAGGGGACAGGGTTCCGGGCATTGACGTCGGATAAGCGTGCTTCATCCTGGCAGGGGAAGCAAAAAAGACGGTTTCTCAGCGTTAGCCTCGCAGTCCACACAAGCCTGGTCTGCAGCCACTCAAGATCTCAAGGCAAGTGGCAATTGCCGCAATCCAAACGCCCCCCCAGCCACACCCAAGAAATGGGAAAGATCAGCACTGAGCAGGTGGCTTGCCAAGCTCGAATTGGTCGGACCGCTCAGCTCCAGATCTGTGCTTCACATGAAGCCAACGACACTTGTCACTTCCTCTATACGTTCCGTTCCCATGTTCTGGCCGTGATCCCTATGCCTTTACCAAATTCGAAGAAGATGGGATTTTCTAACCACAATGACGCGCGACAGGCTTTCGCTTCGCTCCAAGAAAGGTCTGGACCTGGCAATTGGAAAGATGCCCACAGCGTCCGAGGTCATGTTCGAGGCTAGAAAAAGTGGTCAATGACTTGATCGTGGACTGGTTGCGTCTACGATGCATTCTGGGAAGATGCAAAGACATGCTTCGCACACGACGGAGCAAAAAGGCTGGCGAGCAACGTAGGAAGATATTGCTCGATGTCTGGCCAAATATGTCCTCGACGCATCGCCCCGATTTTCGAGTCGAGAGCCGCGAGTCATACGGACAAGTCAAAGATGCCCTTGTGTTTCCGCACAGTAATCTAGAGGACTTGGTGAAATCGAAGGCGCTTCTATTGTTTCTCGATTCCCCAACTTGCCATACGTCCAACGTGTTCGCGTAGACGGCATTAATTCTACATGTCTGGGACTTGTCAGCCAAGCTATTGCGCCAGTGTATTTCTTTGATTCTACCATTGTCATGAGCTGCCAGAAAACACCCGAGACGTCCGGCTGTTTGTTGTAACTGGCTGGTAAACATCGGAGACGTGTGGCCGTGAAAAATAAAAGACAATGAAGTCTATGCAATGTTGACGAATAGCCTCGGTATGAGCACCGGTGAGGGGTGTTGGTCCTTGAGATACAGCAAAGAACAATGCGTTTTGTGGTCAGATGCACCGAGCTGGCCCGCTAAGGCAACTGGACAATGCGAGCCACACCCTTGCAAAGTCCTTCGACGCGACCAACTGGTGTGGAGGCCCCATACCGCATCCAGACCCACAACTACGCCGCACCACATCTATGCGAAAGATGCGATACTGGGGACCACCTATGTTCGCTGCTTGAAGATCCAGCCATTCTCCGAGAACAGTCAAGAGCGTGCGCGATGACCGCAGAATGCATCGACAGTAATGACAGTAATACACATTGGCCGTTAGCACGAATCCGTAATCTCCGGATAGAAGTTTCTCCGAGCGTGACTAAGCCATTGATTGGCGAAAATCTTCAAAGAGGTCTGGCGGTCTGCGGGCAGAGAAAACAAGCCAAATATCAACATTCCACATATACCCTGCTCGGGTACGGCCATCTTCATGAAACCGTTATTGATAGCCGAAATTCATTCAAAACCCCTGAATCTAAAAAAAAAGTACCTCAAAACACAGACGAAAGGTAGTACACAGTGGAAGCACTACCTAATCGGGTTAGCTGTCAGGCCTCCTATTCGTGACCGTAATGACCGTCCGCAGACATGTCTGCAGCAGACAAAAGTCTGGCGGTCGCATCGCTAAGTCCAAGAAGCAGGTGAGCATCCCCATTAGGGTTCGGCGATCCTTTGCCGCAGACCCGGTCACTGTGGGTGAATGTTCTCCGTGGCATAGTACCGGATGCCTATGGGAATGAATGTCATGTTTCGGGACCTGATATGGAAGGGTTCCAAAGGCTCTAGTCATGAACAGAGGGATATCTTTGACATGCAAAACTTGAAGGATTTCAAGGTCATGAATAGAGGGAATCTCGAAATTTCCAAGTCCTACTACGCCAAGCAACAACCTCTGAGACAAGGACAAGTTCACACTAACTGACCAGGGGACTTTTTGCTGTTGAGCGGTCAAATTGTAGTGACTCGTGTCAGTGCATTGTGGGAATCGAAGTTTTTTCAACTCATAAAGTGAGTCTTTGACCCATCATTTGTGGTCAGAGGTCTATGGGCAAAACCCATAATGGCTGTCAATATCTGTCTCACGGCCCCAAGGTCATAAGCAGAAGCATCAGCAGTACGATTCAATGCCATTGGTCAGTGCCTCAGCATTGCGTCTAAGTGTCGGCCGATCCAGCCAAATGCGTCAGAACAATCCACTCCTTTTGCAATCAGCATGGAATCTATGCTGTTGACCACTGTAGAAGCAAACGTCGAGGAATCGGTTCGCCTTGTCATCTACCATGCCCTCAAGACTTCACGCCCTCATCCGCGTCTGGATCTGCCCTTTTCATCCACGTCTTCCTCCATCTTAATCTCTATTTCGTCCCCTTCCTCCTCTTCTCCTTCTTCCGTGTTGTCAGCCTCCGCACAAATCCCCTGGTTCCCACCACTGTAGTCTGCCAGCTCATATCCTGTAGCAAGCACCAACTGCCGGGCTGCCGCGTCATTGTCTGCGGTAAGATGGGCTGCGGGGACGCTTGGTGGTATGAACTGCTTCGCCGTCAGATGGCTGTCCGATTGCTCCATGGTTGTGAGTATAAGAGCCATCAAGGGTAGTAGTTGTGGCGCTAGGCATCTCACCTGCGTCACCGGAATCATCACCAAAGACTAGCCCATGGCGCCGGCCACGGCTCTGAGACCTGACCTCTGTCCGAAGACCTCCTCAAGCCGCTGTTTGGCTTCTCAGGCGGCGTCGGAAACGCTTTGAGCCATTTTCCGCTGATGCTGTGGCTTGCCGATATTTCTCTTTGTTGTATAGATCGTGCAGCTCACGCGTCGCTTTGCCATTGATGCGGCTTGCGTCGAATTCGTTCTGAACCCAGCGGCGCTTTTCGCGGAGAGTGTCTGCGCTGTCGCCGGTGGCGAGTCCGTTGGCACGCGCACGTTGTCGGTAGCGGATATTTCGAGTCAGGGCTGCAAGGTCGACCGGAGTCGAACGGTTTCTTGACTGTGCACCGGTGCTGTTGGCCTTTGGCCTCGTCGGCTGGGGGTTCGGCTTGACTGGTACGCGAAAGCCATGTCGGTGCGCATTCCGTCGGTTCACAAAGCTGACCGTCGAACCAGAGTGAAGGACTGGCATCTTGAAAGTTTCACATTGATGTGTGTGGGATTGAGTGTTGTACGGAGTGGGTGGCGTGGGTAGAGGAAAGGCGGTTTCAAGAAAAGATTTTGCGTGTGCGGAGGGTTGTACATGGATAGAAGAGTGTTGTCGAAAAGGAGTGGAAGGCGATGATGTCTGTTATCATGTGGGGTCGGCTGTGCTTAATGATACAGATATTGAAATAGTAAAATTAATTCCACTGAGGGAACGGTTTCCCCGTTATGGCAGAGCTTCTGTGGTGTATGTAGTCAAATGCATCATGGCAGTTTCTCTCATAGCGTTGGCCGCCCGAACTCGGCTATGCCTGGACCGCAATTGACCAATGGGGCGACTGACCATCTCCCGGAGGTCGAGAGCAGTTGAAGCTGTCTGATCACCAAATGTGCATCACACATCCCTACAGCTAGTATGGCGGGTATTTGGTGGTTCTTCTACCCCTCATTCTATTCTGTGGGTTCCATGTTGTGGACGGTTAATCAATCCGTAAAGATGACCTCGGGGAGTTATCTTTTTGGTTCGATCCGGCCTAATGTTTCCCTTCTTTTTCACTCTTTTTGCAGAGCCTTTGAGGGTGCTCAAATTTTCATCAACAAATGCAAAAATGCAGGAATGCTTGTAGAAGCTCTTAGCTTGTCATTTCTCTGGCTTCTTTCGTTTCGTATTCTTGTCTCTAATCTACCCTCGGAGGTTGAATTATGTGTTGTTGATTTTGCCTTGAGCGCAAGTGAAGCTAATTCTGCCACCCATCTTCGAAACAGTGTTGGCTAATTTTTGCAATCGTAAGTCACATTAGGGAGCGTGAATTCATGATTCAACATCATTCTACAAAGACACAAGCAGGCAGGCTGTACAACTAGAATCATCTCATGAATAAATAGCCAAGCGGCGACCCTAGCGTGAGGTAAGGTCGGTCTGAGGCTAAAGCCAGACATCAGATCGAGCACAACAATACAAGGAAAGCATAGAGATACACTGCTATAGCATACCGAGAAAAGAGCTAGCGGAAGCATACGCCAGTTCATAGCCCTAAAATCTAGAAGGCATCATTCTGCAACAGGCCTTGATGGTTCAAGCGGACAGGGCAGGGCAGAAACTACTACCATTAAACCAGGTCATTGGAAATGAGAATGGCTACAACTGTTCTTGAGGCAACATGATATGAACTTGTTGAGTCATGAAGCATACAGGGCTTTCAGTCCATTGTTCTTCGTGGAAGTGAGGACAGCAATTGTTGGTGTGGGCTCTTCTTGATATACGAGTCCCTGGTATCCAGGGACTATAGAAAATCCTCGGATAGATATATAAAGCCGCATGATGGCTTTTCATGGTTATGATCAGAGAATGTAACAACTATCACCCACCTCTCAACTTCCATAAATACTTAATATTCATAAGTTACAGCATCAGGATAGATCAAATACATTCGATAAACAGAACATTCATTTCTATATAAAGAATTTAATGTATACAAAGAAAATAATAATTAATATATTTTAAATTTATCACCTAAAAAAAAAAAAAAAATTAATATAATATTCTAATCTAGCCCCCATCGTATTGTATAAACACTTAAATGACAGAGAATGGGATGAGATGTCGTTGAGATGCCAAGAGAAACGAATCCACTTTCGGCAAAGACGAATGCCAAGACGCGATCCCTCGAGGGGTGGGCGAGCTTTCTCATTCTCCATCGACTTCAGCGTACTTTTACAAAATTCTGATCAAGCGTGGTCTACCTTTACACTCCCGAATGCTGAGCTTGAAGCACAAGTTCCTTGGCTTGATCCTCTCGCAACAGGGCGTATTAAATGTACTAACCTTGACCGTTGCAAATTCTTTCATTTTCATGAAAGCTGTTTTTCAGACCCTTTAATTTGGCTCGACATTCTACAACCACATACTGCGACCTTGTGAGAGAGCTCATGGTCACACTCTGCCTACAACAAAAGAAAATTCCTGGCGCTTTGCTTCTTACGCCATGTCTTGCGCCCCTGAAGGAACCGCTACCTTCAGACCTCCTGTTTCATTTCATGGGAGTCGTAGGGAATCTAAGGGGTACAAAGGTTGAGGTAACGTACAAGATGTCTTGCCGGGCTTTGTCTCCCTTTTTGCATCAAAATTTTCATTCTCTCCAATGCAAACACGTCAAATCCAGTTGAGATGTCTTTACTTCAAGAGAAGGAGGTTTCTAGGTTTCACACGTTGTACATTCCTTCTGAATGAATTGTTTTGTGAATGAGGACATTATAACGGCTTCTTAGTTCATTTTGTATATAAGTTGAAGCACCGGAGAGAACCGAATTGCTCTATTTTGGGGAGGGAATTTCAATATCTTGAGAGCAACGAATTGGATTTGCTAACCTCTTAAATGGAAAGAAAATAAAGTTGTATTGATCTTGATTTGCAAGACATGAATAGGCGTGTAATATCAAGAGCTGAAAAAGAGATTGCCAGTGTTTCTCCATTGTAGGCTATTATCGCCCTTCCTCTCGACCAGAGTCATCGTCGAGCCTCGAACGAGTCTTTCCTGACTGTCAACTCCCTTGGCGATATCGTGAATAGGGAGAGGCCCAACCTTAAGGCTGCTCCACACACTGCAGACGGAGGACCATCGTTTGGCAAACAAGCGCCACATCATGGCGTAGAGAAGCAAACCTCTTCTACAGACATTGCGCCCCGCGAACTGCGGTACCATTACTCCGGCGCGTTCTTGGCCCTTTGCTACGTCGTTGCCGAAATGATTGTATGGGCGTTGGCATGCGTGCTGAGCTACAAGCCCATCCAGTTTGCCACCTGTGATGATCCGACTGCTCGGTACCACAGCAGCCAATTCATTGGTAATGATCGGTGGCGCCAATTCGTAAAGACTGCGTATTCAATCATAGCAGCACTCAGTATCCCTGTCACATCGATGATCTGTGCTAGAGCTGTCGTGGTCTATTGACAAACGCCCTCTTTCAAGCCGAAGATCTTGTTATCACTGCGCCAAATGCTCAGTCTTGCAGATAAGGGGCGGACGGACCCTGCGATTCTGATTAACATCTTCCGACGAGGCAACCCATATAGAACAGGCTCATATCTACTGTATCTAGCGGCCCTTCTCTGTGGCTTGGGTAAGTTCAACGCTGTCTCGAACGCAGTAGGCTCAGCACGAACAGGCTGACTATCAGCAGGCGTCATGATCCCAGCTCTGCAGGGCTACTACCTTGATACTGTCCAAGTAAACGTGAGCATCGGAGACGGCGTGTTTAATGATTTAGCGCCTGCGCGCGAGTTGACACCGAAAGGCCTGACCAGTGTTGCCACTTCCAAGGATGTTATCCCAGCCACAATCGGGGACACCACCGCTTCATCCGGAGACTTTTCCTATTTGTGGACGCCTCACACGAATTTCTCCTCCAGGCCTCCGTTCTACGACATTCTAGGCGTGGAAAGCAGTATACCCTGGTTCGCTTCTGCTGCACCTATCACCGCAGATACTGGCGTTCTTCGTGTATATTCTCTAGGAATGGGAAGTTCCGTCAATTGTGCGCCTATTTCTTCGAACGATTTCCCGTCTAAGTGTCCAGGATCTAATCCTTTCTCGACAAATTGTTCGAACGTCGATCCGACTAGGTCCGCGATATCTGGGAATACCAGTCAGTCATGGGCAGATCCCTTCGTTTTCAGGGTTTGCGCTCCTGGTGACGTTAGCTCGTCGCCTTGGCAGCCAACCCTTGACAGGCAGCAGATCAGTGAGGATCTATATCTAGATTACCAGAACTACAGCGCGGCGGCAAATGCCACAAACTATACTTACCGTTGCATTGCTGAATCAACCCTGGGCTACTTTGAGCTTCCAAATCAGTGGAACGGCTCTATTAGTGGTGATATATACCGCTCCCGACGTGGATGACATCTCTACTTACGGAGGAATTGGAGGAAACGAGTGTGTGTACAAATGCCTCTCTCCATAGTCGAGTTGTCTGACACAAATTATGAAGGACTTTACCTGCAATCAGCAAACGCTCAATGCAGAGTGACAGCGCTAATATGCCTCCTAACCGTGTGGTCCCTGGACCTCTACTAACATCCGTCCTGGCTATGTTTGGCAATGGAACATTCTACAATACTCTTACCTCTATCAATAGCACGGGGCCCGAACTCACAGCTATTTGCGAACAACTCCGAGTCCCTTTTGGTGATAACATCGACGACATTTTATTTAACAGTCCATATACAATGGAGCAATGTTCGAATGAATAAGACGCCAGTGCCTTCATCTATACCTCTCTAATTGGCTGAAAACTTGGAACGAAACACTCTACCTCAACCTCGCACTGACTGCAGGTACCTATTATAGCGCTCGCGAGGCTCTGAACCCCGAATTCTTCCCGGAGCCGACTGTCAACACAGACGGCGCCATGAGCCATTCTCGATTCTTGTATTCAAGTCCCGGCATGGCCATCCAGAAATTCTCGATTGTCAAGGCCCCACTAATCGCTATCAGCCCCCTGATATTGCTGTAAGCAATCGGACTTCTGCTTTTTGCCGCTTACTCCGTCAGCCAGCCCACGTGGACAGCTTCTCTGGACGGCTTCGTAACACTGAGAATTGGCGCTGCACTTGCGGATAGGTTACCTTTGGTCTCTTCTCTGCAAGCTAAAGATGTTGCCCTCTTGGGGGAGAAAAGAGGGTGGATTGGTGATGATGCGGATGATGCGGACGATGCGGACGATGCGGACAGCCTTCGCACACTCACTGTGGGTGGACTTTGACGGCCGAGGAAGCATACTCTATACCGACGTGTTGACAGCGAGACTGAATTGAGTCAGCGAGGCTGGTAGAACCTCTCGAGGGGCAACAAGGGTTACACATGAAATTCAACGCAGCAGCCAAATCCATGGGAAATGCGCGGTCTTGAGTACGAAAGCACTCGCCGATCCTTATCTGACACGCTTCTCTACCAACCTTGTATGCCACTAGCCGGTCAACTTTAATGGCGCGTTACCGGCCAATGTACTACAAGGCCAAGATGTAGAGTGATTCATGTTCACTCGACCCACGACAGTGTTCTACACCATTTGCCACCGTCGATCTCGTACGGGGTCGGACTCGCCGGGGCCCGGATACCTTCGTCACCGCTGTGGCTGGGAACTGAAACAACAAAACCTGGCCTTTCTCCCTTCCAACTCACCCCTCCTGGCGCCCCTCAAGCATATTCCACCTTCGAAAATCAAGCCTGACCCAACGCCATTCTCCTATGCAATTTGACACGCATCTCAGCTTCCCCACCGTCAATTTGAGTTTTCAGCGTTCTTGTCAGCTTCCCTGTAGGCCCTCTTTTCCACGGCGGCATTGGCGGCCGAGCTCATTGGAAGACCAATCTTCGCATCTGCGAGTCGCATTGGAGGCCTGAGATCAATAGCAAGCCGAATATCAGGTGGTTCTATCTTCGTCTTTCTCCCAGAGAGTTTCTTGCGAGCCAACATCACAGGTCTAGAAAGAGCCGAGAAGGGCACTACATGTTTTGCTACGTTGCGGCTGTCATCTTGTCTGCCACTGCCACCGTGTCCTGCATGCCCGCAGTTCCCTCGTCGATGGGCAAGCAGGCATGCTGCTGCTATACGAGAGGTTCGATGACCGCAGCCTGCCTTCTCTGAAAAGAGATATATGTGTGCTTTGCCTCTTAACATTATATCTTGCTACCCTGGAAGACTTATGCTATGAGTCCACTTGTTTGCTTTTTCTAAGATCATATCCATTTTTAAAGCGAGAATTCAACCAACGTTTGCTATGGTTTTTTTTCCAAAATCTCGCGCTATGGCAGATTCAACACCTCCGGTTGCGAGCTTTCCGACCGCATGCCGTTTTGCAACCGATCCCCCAGACCACTAAAGTCATGAACATTCTCACTGCCCACCGTGCCCTGTATAGACCATGTTTTCGAGAACGGTGTCCTCAACCGCCGTGAGAAGATCACCATTGATGGGTTCACTATCACTCGTGGCCAACACTAAGACTTCAAGCGCCAGCGCATGGATAAAAGAATTAGGGACAAAGCGAAGGCCAACCGTCAGATTTTCGAGCGGCTTCATGGTCTTTCGACAAATTGGGCTCTCCATTACTCAAGCGTTCTTCTAGCCTCATCCGCTACACGTCCTCCTCTCAGACGCACGTCGGCCTGCATCCGATACTCGTCAGCCACAACGCTCTGCACTTATTCTACCCTCGAAAGCCCCTCCAAGTAATCCTGACGAGACCGTGACTGTCAATAGTAGCCACGTAACTGTCTACGTCGCCACCGCAGTCGACATTGATGAAACTGTGTTGACTTTTAACGACTTGAGATGCTTGCGGAAGGTGCACGGGAATGGGGCAGATTCCCGGGGTTTGGACCGAGTTCCAGCTCGAACGGCATTTCCTGTGCCTGTGTAAGGAACGGCAACAAGAGCAATTCACGAATCAGGGTCGTAGCGAAGAGCTAAAAAGTCCAGCATTGTCTATGCCTTCATCAATATCAGACGCTGAAGGGCCACCCCTTTCTTGAGTCACCTGCGCTTTTCGCAACGTCTGCTGCTGCTCCAGGCCCTCAGCTCTCTTCCTCTCCTGCCTGGATGTGCTATCTTCCCACGCCTGCCCGAGGCCCTCCTCTCTCTTGAATAGATCTTGTTCAAACCTCTGTATCCTTTCTGCATTTGTTTTGAATCTCTCATTTGCGATGTTGACTAGAAGCTCCAGGTACTCTTCGCTAACAATGCAGGTGACGTGCTCTTCAATCTCAGCCCCATCTTCTCGATCCTGTGGACGATTTGGTATGAGTCCGACTAACGATTCGAAAGCCAGACCAGCTGTCCGAATAGCAACCATAGGAAAGGCAGTACGATCGTCCAAATTTTTGAGGCTCTGGATGCCGCTTTCTCGAAATCCCGCGTTGATGGCTGCTGCGAGAATGGGTTGGGCACGGTGTAAAGAAGCGGTCATGATGTGGAGGATCTACGTCTCTTCTCAGCATCATCACACTTTCAAGCAAAACTCTGAGAACGCTGTTTTTTGATGCTAAATCCTCTACGTACCATAGGCTCGAATTGAAATCTTGCAAGCCGCATCTCATTGGCCTCTCCACTGAGAGCCAGAGCCTCACTCTGCGCTCCGAATGAACCCAAGCCCAGAAGCTCCGTAAAGTTTCCCTTTCCCTCGTCCTTTTTGAATGTTCCAAGCGGCTCATGGCTTACAAAGAGCCATTTTCCACCCATTCCTTTTCCCCCGGGCACAGCAGCCTGCTCCGACTCCTTCCCAAACCTCCCATCATTCCTAGCAGGTCCACTTTCCTCATACCCTTTGCCTTGCTTTCTGCCCTCAAGAAAGACAGTCACTCTCCCCGCGCAGGAACTTGTAGTCACTACACCGTCCAATGCATTGATGCGATCAATGAGAGGCTTGATTGCTGCGTCAACGGAGCCTTTGGGGGAGAGGTCCGTGTAGGTAGATTCGGGGGTGGAGAGTGAGGCAAGAATGGCGTTCTTTTTGGCCACGAAAGAGGAAGAAACCTGTGCTTTCTGGCGCATCATTGACATGCACAGAGACGGGAAGGAGGCCTTACCGCGTCGAAGGGGAAAATCAATAATGCTTCCTGTTCCGGTAAGGCGGCTATGGTGATGTCACGCGCCGACGCGTTTTGGCGGTCAAAGTCAAACGACGAGGAAGCTCAGCTTTAATTTGCAACACACTACGTGTAGTACATACCAAGCATAGCTCCAATTGCTTCCTCTCACCACGATCGCATCCTACTGCGCAAATATACACCATGCCTCAGCGTCGCTCTCACTTCCCCAACGCCTCCCCCAGCTCCACCCCCTTAAAGCGGGCCTCCGAATCCACCATTCCCTCGCGCCAATCTAAGCGCATCAAGTCCTCTCCCATTACCTCTTCAAAGACTACTCCCAAAAAGAGCCCTTACTTCGAGCACCCTGACAGCTCGGATCCCGAGTCCGAGTCCGATATCGAGAAGGAGGCATCTGGGTATGAGGACGAGGATGAATCTGCAAGCCTGATGTCATCGCCGCCGGAGAGCGATATTGAAGGCGACGCAGATGGAGATGCGAGTGAGAACAATGCGCCTAAAAAGGGGAAAAGAGGGAGACCAGCGAAGAGCAATGGCCATAGCGGGGTCGCCAGCACAGGGAAGAAGGGGCAAGAGCTGTGGAGGCTAGGCGCGAAGATCGACGCCGCACCTGGAGAAGCGGTCTTCATCAGACTGCCCAAAGCGAGGGAGGCGGGCAAGGTACCATATACGGACAGCACCGTACACCCGAACACAATGCTGTTCCTCAAGGATCTGCGGGCCAACAACGACCGCGAATGGCTCAAGATGCACGATGCAGATTATCGGCAGTCGAAGAAGGATTTTGATTCCTTCGTCGAGTGCCTCACAGAGAAAGTTATTGAACAAGACGAAACGATCCCAGAGCTACCGCCCAAAGATCTCACTTTCCGCATCTATCGTGACATTCGCTTCTCCCCAGACCCAACGCCTTACAAAACGCACTTCTCCGCTGCTTGGTCACGCACCGGAAGAAAAGGGCCGTATGCGGGTTACTATGTCCAGGTGCAGCCTAACGGATCATTCGTGGGAGCTGGTGTCTGGCATCCAGAAGCGCCGCCTCTGGCGTTGATGCGGCAGGACGTCGACCTCAAAAGTCACAGGATCAAGGCGGTGCTGACGGCGGCAGAGCTCAGAAAGGCCTTCTTTGGCGGGATAGCGAATGACGAAAAGAAAGCTGTGAAGGCGTTTGTGGGTATGAACACGGAGAACATGCTGAAGACGAAGCCCAAGGGTTACGAGAAGGACAATCCTAACATTGACCTGCTGAAATTGCGGAATTATACCATCGGCAAGAAGCTGAAGGACGAAGAGGTGCTAGGCCCTGGCGGTCTCGGGAGGATTGGGGAGCTGATTGGGATCCTGACGCCTTTTGTTTCGTATCTGAATAGTGTCGTCATGCCCGATGAAGAGCCAAGCTCTGAGGAAGGAGAGGAAGGAGAGGAAGGAGAGGAAGGAGAGGAAGGAGAGGAAGGAGAGGAAGGAGAGGAAGGAGAAGAAGGAGGAAGAGGCAGAAGAGTAGGATGGACTCATTCAGTAAATAGACCTCCTTGAAATATGAGAAGCTTGGATATCCCCTAATTACCTCACAGAGTCAGAGACTCATTTCCTATCGCTGCCACAATACCCAAATGCCCAAGCCATGATCAGAGCCCCTTCTATCGCTCCTTACCAACGGCTCCGCTCCACGAAGCCACGTTACACTTCGCGATTGCCCTTGTTTCGCACAGGAAGATTGAACGGAGTGCCCCTACATTCCCGCCATCCGCACATCTGCCGCCCTCTCATCATCCCCCTCTCCCAGGCGTTCCATCTCGCCGAGAGCAAGCTTCATGTCCGTGTGCTCGTAGCGTCTGACGGTATCCAGATCCGTGTCCCTGGCGAAGCCCCGCCGACGCCTCACACTGGCCGAAGGGCTGACCCAGTCCTCCATGTCCTCCTTTTTGGCCGTGATGCGGCCCCCGGAAACCTTTGCTGCGGCCGCCACCCACTCTGCTTGAGTCATCTCACGACCTCGCTGGTAGTCAAAATGACGCGGGCGTGTGGACATGTTATCATTTGCAGGTAGCTTTTGCGAAGGACCGTCGCCGATGGTGCTGGCGTTTGGGCTAGTTTTGGCCGCTGCTTTTCGTGTCGTGCCAGGTCAGCGAAAGCTGGACAAGACGTAATAAATGGGCGACTTGACGACGGAGCAGTAGCTTGAAATTGGGTCTTTACCTGTGTGAATTCGCAACACTTCCTCGTCATTGATTCGTTTCTCGAGACCCAGGCCGGTACGACTCTCAGGCTCATCGCCATGTCCGAGCAGCGCTTGCTGGGATTGTATGCTGGTCTGATGAGAGGGTTGGGGGGCCATATTCCCTGGGCTTGATGCGTCAGTAAAACCCCCAACGGTGCTGCAAATGAAGTCTCGACCATGAGAGCAAAACCAATGAGAAAATGGCATGGTGATTTACCGCTGTTGCTGCGCTCAGCTTCCCTTTTGGCTGCTTTCTTGACCTGTCTCTTCTGGCGGCGGCGGGCTTTTGCCATGGCAAAGAGTTCACCAGAGTTGCTGACAGGACTCTTGCTTCGAGTCATAATGGGTAATGGAGGTCTGATAATATTGATACTGAAGAGAGGTGCACGAGGAATGTCACAGTAGTGTTTGGCGTTGTGACAGAGAGATGTGTGCAAAGTGTTGATAGGCAAGGCGCAACACCTTGGACCTTGGTCCCGAAGGGCCCGACAAGATTTTCTTGAGGATGAGATTAGTAGTCTTATTCTCAGACAAGACATTGGATCCTCTAGTTTAGCTGAGGCAACCGCGTCCTCCACGTAACGCTAGTGGTCGTGATTGATCGCCAGGTCTCAACCCCACTATCAGTGTTGTAGTATGTCGACCGCTATACGTACTGCAGGGTAAACGTTGGTGGCGCTTCGTTGACAGGCCGAAGATGAAGTGCGAAGGATAAGTACGATCTAAAAAGATCTCTTGAGGCAAACTTCCTTTTTTCGATTCCGGGTTCGAGTTCGGCACACCTTTTTCTTTGGCTTCTTATATCGTTCTTTTCCTTTTCGCGATGTAGTCAGTACTCACTCTCTTCTTCCAAATGTCTGGGATTGATTGCGGCCAAAAGAAAATGCGTACATCCCTTTCTTAGACGGAGGTCGCTTGGCCTGTAGTGGCGGCGATACTTCATCTCAACACTATACAAGCACTCTGGCTAGCCCTCACTATACTTCTCTGGTCTAACACAGCAGGCTAACCATTCAAGCAGAAATTCCTCAAACTTTGAAGCTCTGACCTCCTTTGCTTTTCGCTAAATAAGCGCGATAGGGTATCAACAGTATGTGAATTTGGCAACTCGAATTGTTAGGGCGATAGCTTTGGATTGTGGGAAAGCTACCAATACCAATAAAGGGCCATTGATTTTCTCAAAGAATTCACATGCACGCCAGGAAAAGATTCAAATAATGAATGTAGTTGATGTTGGCAGCGACATGCAACAATTGGAGACTCCTTGAAGGAGAGCACTAGCAAGAAGCGTGCGACCAAGACAGCACCTACGATTCAGAGAGTATGAATGCACGGGTAGATGTCTTGAGTCTGAGGCTTCTGAGACGCATATTGGCTGGGCATTAAAGAGTAAGGAGCAAAACTTGAGGTCTGAGATTTGTATTCGTAGAGCCTTTTCCAGCAATCAGGGTGGTCATAGACTCAGGCTTACATTCGGAGGCGGTACAAGAGCGAGACCATGATAGCTTGGAAGCTGAAATTGTCTTTGGAGGTCAGAATGTCAATAGTTGCCCTTAGGATCTATCTTCGAGGTTGAAGTCAAGAGCAGGCGTCGCTTCTTGGCATGCACCAGTCCTTTCCCATGTCGGCTAGCTCTCTTATGACTTTCTCAACGACGACGTCCCCGCTTCTCACCGTCACCCCTTACGCCTACCCGTTCTTCTATGTGAAGCTTTCAAGCCCAGTATGCGTACACTGCCAATGCAATGTGCGAAGAAAGCGCAAGTCCGAGGTTGCCAGATGTGCAAGGCCTGGGGTATTCCGACCAGACCATCCAACGTCTCGAGATCACGGGTTCTTGTCAATGCTAGTAGTGGTACTGTCACCTCTTGCATTTCTCGGTCTTCCACTTGGCGTGAGGCGCGCCCATTGCGATGGCAACTATGATCGACGAGGTAGAATACTGGACACCGAGCCCAGAAGGTCAAGCGCCATCGGAAGATGAATTTGCTTGCCGTAGCACCATGATTTGACAATTGTTCTTGTCCAAGGTCTCTGTCTCCTCAATGTTGCCTGTTGGCACCAGTAGCCGTGGGAGCCCATCTGCTAGCATACTCTGGATCATCGAATTGTAATCTTCAGTGCATGCGATTTTCTCGCTTTTTCGCTTTGTTCGCTGCGTTGAGCGTATCGAGTAATGCGTCCGACAAATTAAATAATTATCTTATTCAGGCTCGAACATAGAGGAAGATGTAAAATTGTGCACTATCTCGCGACCACCAAAGTGTGACTTGACAGAAGAGGACCAGCAAAAAGGCACAGCATTCTCAAAACAGCGGAAATCACGGGTCAAAAGTAAAAGGAACCGTACAGGGTAGTATGTGCAGACGTCACTGCATTGAAAGGAAAGAGCGGGCAAAAAATTAGAAAGACTGATACAGGTCAGGATCGAACCAAAAAGATACGCGAAGCACCAGGATTGGTTAACCCCCCCAACACTCGCAGGTATTCAAGGCACAGGAAGAAGGCGGCCACTCCTCTTACTGCACCACTTTCCCATTGGATGAAGGATCCACAATAGTTGTGATCAGCAGATCGGACATCGTCAATATACCCATGAGGTTGGCAGCTACCCCAAGACCACGGGACCAAAGACTTATCCTCACATGAACCAGAGAGCACGTATTTCACTGCCGTGACGGGAGCAAGCTACCGCCACGAAGCTATTCGACGGCCCTCGGTAAAAAGATTTTCTCCTATTTCGATATTTATATCAAAATTAAATCTTCACTCTCTGTCCTTGCTTTCCTCAACACCTTTTCGTAGTTTCCTCAACTACGCCTTCCGACGTTTGCAGCACACGTTGTACACACGCCATCTGTAATCTTGTCGGTTTTGCCTGGCTATCCTTGAATTGAACGCGATTCCTCGTCCGCCTACACCCCTTCGCATCACGTCTTCCATCACATCGACCCTTGCTGCGCGCACCTTTTCTCCCAATATCCGCCACCCTATCGCCTTGCATACACCATGAGTCGCGTCAAATCTAAGCAGACCGCGGCCCTGGGCCAGCGAACCGCTCCTTTGGGAAGGCATCCAGTGACAGCGAAGCGCAAAAACGCCAAGAAGAAGGCCATGAGACGCGCCGAGAGCAACGTGTCAGTGCTCTCACAAAACCCGCTGGCAACGTTCAGCGACCCTACCTGTATCCGCAAGCAATGGCTGTCCCAGCGAGGCTCTCGACGCGCCAAAGAATTCACTGAGCTCCGCAACAAGCGCCGCTGGGTCCAAGGCCAGCTGGAGGACAAGCACATCCAGGGCAGTACCGCTCGTGAGCTCTTGAAGCTCTACGACAAGACCTTCATTGGCAAACCACCGGGGCAGAGGCCCGGGATTGAAGACATGTCCGGGGGTGCTAAGCTCGTCAATTAGCACCTCGAATACGCTATTGAGCACAAATTGGGTGGTTTTGGGGACGATGCGGCGGACCCAAGCCATGATGCTGGGTCTATGGCCTAACCTGTGAGCCAATACTACGGTGAAATGGACGATGTTGCAGTGCAAGATGAGGAGGAGGAAGAATGGAATGGGGGTTCGCCTGCGGAAAAGGAGTGTGCAGGGCTCAATCAGGCAGATGACTGCCATGTCGATGGCTTGATGGTGCAAGAGTTGAGTCAAGATGAATTGAGCTACAACTAGCCATTTTGGTGAAGGGTGACAGTCTTGCTGCATCACTATAGGGCAAGGATGATGAAGGAGGCGGATCTGGTTAGGCTTGTGGCGATAGAAGCAAGACAAATGAGTACTAGTGTTAGGGTTTGCAGTCATTGATCATCATCGTCACGAAGAATTGTCATCTCCAAAGCTGTTTTCCCCAACAATAATGCAGGCCAGTGAGATTGCTTGGTAAAAAAAGAGACGCATAATTCCAGATGTCCGGGTTCTCAACCCGAGGAACAGCGATTCCAAATTCATCCTGCATTCGGGACCCCACGCCGTCCCAAAGCGGAAGGCCATCTTTTTGTCATGCAGGTTGACTGCCGGCAGGTGGGGTATAGTTTCCGTCGGCGAGACCGACGCATCGCGCACGGTCCTTGATTTCCACGTGGTTCTGGCTATCTTTAACCGGGGCATACATGTTCCGGTAACCAGTCATTGCCGCTACCCTTGCCAATACCACCAAAAAGAAAATGGTCCGGATTCGGTATGCAAACCGTGCATGGGTAAACGTATTTGCATCTGCAGCTGTAGCTGTACCGTAGGTATGCAGCATGATGTGACAATGATTGGCAAGCTCTATTGAAAAGTCCGAACTCTTTCATGACAAATATTTTATCTCAAATGTCAGATTTCCCGTCATGATTTGTCTTATCTATGGGAGGATGACATTGCGATCATGCATGATTGGTTGAAGTGGGAGAGAGGGAGAAAGGGAGAAAGGAGGTACAAGAATTTGGGGGGGGGTGGGGGAAGGGATGTATGCTTGAAGGGGGGGTGTGGCAGCTGGCAGCAAGTGAATAAGATAATGATTTAGGGTTCTTAGTTGCGATTGCCACGAGGCATGGCTGGCTTGAGGGCTGCGGGTGTCGGTGGTTGGCGGCATTTTGGAGGGGGGCGAAGTGGGTGGAGTCTATTGGCTGCTTATCGCACAGTAGCCCGAGGAGGCGTGGACCCGACAATCAATAGACGCATGCAAGATTCCGGAGACACTGAACTTTTTAGCGGATTTTCGTAGATTTGAAAAATCATGGGAACAATATTATTGTTACAATTACTATTACTATTTACTTTTACTATTACTATTACTATTATCATTATTGTCATTATTGTCATTATCATTATTATTACTATTTACTATTATTAAACAATCGAGAAACGCAACTGGACACCGACATCCCAGCACAATGTACCACATTAAGACACTTGAATGGGACTCGATATGGAAAAGACTTGTTTTGTTCATTTGTGATCATCATCATTATCATAATTATCATTATCATTATCATAATCATTGTTGTCATCATCATCATTATCATTCTCACGACTATTTCGAGCTTTCAAGGGTGGGTTGAGAGAGGTCGCAACTCGCGCGGAAGAAGAAAGGTTGCGAGCCACTCTAAATGTGGGGTCCAGTCAAAATATTCCTTGCCAAGACAGCAAGTTTGATGTCGCTTCCTGGCTCAATTTGACCTCGACCAATGAGAGAGTCAAATAAGCGAAAGTTTCATGCAAGGCATCGTAAAAAGTCTACAACCTTCCTTTCAAAGTGACAGGAGTCTGACATCTTTTTCGTCGTATCACGCTGATGGAAGGATAGCAGCAGCCAGCATATCTTTCGTCACTTCATTTGAGCCATGATCAAGCTTGACATCGGTCGATTCGGTCCGCAGTCCGAGATGGTGTCTAGACCGGTCCCTTCTACCCTCTACCTTGCCTTGTACCGTCTCCACCCATTTCTTACGTACCCTGATCTGGTATCACTTTCCCCGGACTTGCTTGGACTTCCGCAATACGCAAGGAAGATCTCATCGATTGTCTCCGCATCCCGTAACCATGGTTGAAGCCCAACGGAACCGTTCGGACCTTCTGAATATCTCCTGGGCACACGAGTGGCTTTGAGAGAGATATGCCTTCCTTGAACGTCAAATGATCCATGGAATCGGGATCTCCATACCTACTGCCTGGTACAAAAGTCAGGGGAAGCTTCCGTCCCCCTCCGCTGCACTCTATCTCTTCAAGTTGGGTTGAGGCTGCGGAGACAGGCCTAATTAAAAAAAAAACCTCCCCTAATACGAGCCGCGTTGAAACACCAACAACTGTCAAGTTTCACAACTTCGTATAGCAAGATGAGGCCTCAGGCAAACCATCTTGAATTCGTATGGGCTCCCACTAGGACGTGTTGGAGTCAATAGACATCTATTGATACGACCAGGGAAAGGAAAAGGGAAATGGTTGCGAGGAAAGTTGAAGGGGGGGACAAATAAGTAAGGTCAAAAGTCTAGACTTTTCTTCCGAGGGGCCATTCTCCATTCATTGTTTCTTGCGCAAAAGAGAAAAGAGAGACCCCTGTCTGCAAGGGATCCTACTAGTCTCTGACGGGTTACGACTAAAGTGACCGGGGCAGATGATCCAACCGGGTCGATATCATTATTGACGTGAGATCCATTACACCCTCTCAAACTTCAAGAGATTAGACTCACCCAAACAAATTGTGAAGCCTTTCTGAAGGTCAGAATCAGCCTTCCGGAGCCTCCCTTTCACGACCAAATACCCCTGCCGATACTTCGCTGGGCATAATCTGAATGGAAGACCACATGCTCCGTAAAGCCGTAAATACGAGCATTTGTGCTCAGAGATCAGAGCTCTAGACAGAAAGCATTTTGATCTTGGCTTGTGGGCCAAAGAATAGGAATTGTGGGGTATATGACTTGAGTTCGAAAGGGCTATAAATTGGAGATGGGAAAAGCATGATAGACTTTGTTGTAGAAGTTAGAAAGATGAAGACAATCAACCCCTTGTTGTTCCGGTCTGCTGAGGCTATCTCTACGTCAGGCAGAGTAAGGTTAGACAGTCAAATGAAAGAAGTGCTTCCGCATGAATTTAAGATGACCGAGACCAAGCTTGTCCTTAGCCTGTCCATGTCCGCGTCGCTCCCACTCCCTCTCATCCAAGTCCCAAAGAGACTCTATCAAGCGACGGACTGGCGAGACTGGGGCCAGAGCTCTCGCCGGACAGCGACGCGTCCACCTCCTTACATTTACAATCACCGTTGAAAAAACCGATCAATTCCAAACAAGGTGACATTCGATTTTGTCAACTGCTTTTCTTTTCCCCTTCACCCTTTTTTGAACCCGTCTCTTCTGCCAAATTGAGCGGTGTTATCAAGGTCACAGCGGCACAAACAAGGCCGTCAGAGCCCGCATCCAGCCTTTCAGACCGCCTGCCGCAAGCCCACCCTTAAATCTGGACAAAGGGAAAATCGAACTCTACCTACAACGCGCCAACAACAACCAATCCCTCCTCCTCCCCCCCTCCTCTCCCTTCTCCCCCCCCCCCCAGGCTTCGCATCCCAACAATCCTCCCAAAAGCTTGGACTCAACCTCTTTCCCTTATTATTACAATTATTTATCATTGTTGCTGTTATTCATCATATCTAATCCCCTCTGCATTCCGTATTATTTATTATTTTCTTCTTTATTACTATCAATCACTGCTGCCCAGTCGGACGGAAGTTACAGCGAGCGGCGGAGATCTACTGCGCTGACAGCTCCTGCGATCGTCCGTCTGATCGACGGACCCGAGAGCCTGGGCTTGCACTTGGACTCGGCATTCTAGGCACACACTGAGCTCTCACAACACTTTAGGCTTGAGATCGCCGCTCCATCGACTGTTGAACCGAGCTTCTTGCATATGCGGTACCTGCAACTTAATCTGAGAAAGCTTTTGAATAATTTGACGTGCCCGACTCGACCTCTCCTCTGCTCTGCCCCGCCGACGCAACCGGTACTGACTTCCGCGAGCCAAACGCCATTGCGCCTTGTTTTCTCGGGACCTGCCTCCCAGTACCAGAACCACCGTCACGGGCATTTGCCTGCAATCACAAAAGCCAAACGTTCATTGGGAATAAGTAAGACGACTAGAAGGGTCGCATCGAGTGCACCAAATACCAAACGCGACTCGAAGAACAACCATAGCACCCTCCCGTGAACTTCCACCGATTCAATAAACGACCACGCTGCAAGCTCCGTCGAGGACAGCAACACCTACAAATCCCCAGACTCTCTACGCTGGCTACCCTTCTGCTGCCTCCAGCGCGCGATCACTTTCAATTCCCAGCAGTCGATCGAGCTTGCCGCAGCTTCAAACCCGCCACGCCGTCTCCGGCTTCAAAGCTTACGTTGCCCTCCCTGGATTTCTTGCAACAACAGGCCAGTCAGCAGTACTGGCCTGGTGCATCCTCCTCTACTCCAGCCACTACGGCTCAACAATTGGGCACCCTACCTACCCCACCAAGCGACGGTACGGACGGTTTCAAGCCACCAGGTCACAACAACCGCGACGCGGTCCTCAACAATCTGGCGACGGCCGCGGTACAGCAGCAGCCCGGTATGGCCTCGAACTTGGAGCCAACCGGAGCATCTTCCAGCTTGACATCTCGCAGACCAGCCGCGAACAACTTGCCAAGCTTCGAACTCCCGGCACCTTTTGGTCAACAATACGCACAGAAATACACTCCCTTGCCCGCCATTAATGGTACGCAATCTACACAGGCATCGGTCAGCGTAGGCAACCTTTTGACGCCGCCATCGACAGTCCCAGGTGACAACCTTAGTCCGATAACTTCTGCCCTGAATGGTCTCAATAATAGTAGCCAAGGTGGAATGCCGCCGTACAACAGCTTTGCTTGGCCACCGCTTCCAACAGGTCTGACGCCTATTGGAATGGGAAGTGGGAACACGCCACAGCCATGGACAAACCCATTGAACCAAGCTCGGGGACTGTTTTCTCCTTCACTGTCGAGCACACTCGCTGCATCTCTTGCGCGTGGCAACTCCAACTCGCCGTCTGCAACCGAGGGCTTGCCTCCTCCGCCATTTGACATGAAATACGACATGAGCCAGCTCCCGCCTCTACCTACATCAATATCAATGTCGGCGGCTACAAGTCTCCCAACCATGCAGCAACAGGCTCAGGCAATGGCGTACATGAACCAGACCCAAACCCAAACCCAGACGCCCGTCTCAGCCACAACCCAGGCGTCACCTGTCCATGGCACAGATACATATATGCAAAGACCAAACTCAACGCCTATTTTCTACAGCCAGTCTCAACCGTCATCAGCACATCAAAGCACTTTTCCTCCGTTCCACACTAATTCATCGCCGGTCCAGCAGAGCCCAATGAGCGCACCACCACAAGGGTCTCGAATATCGCCTGTCAACGCTCAATCAGCAACCTTCTCTCCTCCCGCGTCACAGTCGAATCCGTTCGGTGGCCGCTCCACTTATGCTCCATATTCCCTCCCAGCGCCCATGAGTGCCCCAGCGCACATGAGCGGACCGATTATGTCGAACATCCATCACCCAAATAATCCAATGGGCTTGGTCGGCATACCAAGCCATGGTCTTCCCGGGGGGATGATGGCTGGCTACAATAGCGGCCACGCAGCACATCTGCAGCAACAGATGTATGGGAATCCGCAACCAACACCGCATAATGAGAGACCCTTCAAGTGCGATCAGTGTCCCCAAAGTTTCAACCGGAACCATGACCTGAAAAGGCATAAGAGGATACATCTTGCGGTGAAACCCTTCCCATGCGGGTACTGTGAGAAGAGCTTTTCGAGAAAAGATGCTCTTAAGGTAAGCTTCTTACGTGTGGAGTTGGGGAAATCCTAACTTATACATTCCACAGAGACACATCCTTGTCAAAGGCTGCGGCAAGTCGACATCCTCCTCGAGCACCAGGGACCGGGAAGACACACCGGATCCTCAACCAAAGGACGAATCAAGTGATAACGATGAATCACCCGTTCTCCATAATAGTTCAGTGTAGGGGTTACTGGTCCTTCTGTTTAATTCTCTTCTCATGGCGATGTATCAATGAGATTTACGGCGTCATGGTGTGGGGCGTAGGACGACATGCAACGAGGTAATAGTAGTTGGCGCTTACCATCGCATGCTGTGCAGGGAACCTGGTGTACAGAAGAATCTCGCTTTGTGGCGTACCGGGGGTAGCCGGGTGTTGGATGATTGATGGGAAAGGGCCGCTTCGGATGCGGAATTGTTAGATATCCCGGGGCTGGTGGTGGGAAAACCTAGTGCAGGTGTTGGTCTCGCGAGCCGGCTTGAGGTGGTGTCGCTGTTGCAGCGTATCGCTACCGGTGCTGCGGTGGAAAAGCGTCTTCGTGTACGAGTTGGCTGAATAATGCCCGAGCTCTTTCTGGCACCCAGTCGGTGTTAGCATTTTCATTCTTAATATTGATACCTTGTATTCTGATCCGCTTCGCCTTGTGAACCTGCCTCAGCAGAATAGTCCAATGGAATATGCCAGTTGGACCTCCATTGGTGTAATCCCAGAGAAGGTTAGATCGACAGGGTTACACGGTACCGGAACGTCGCCGCTTCGCTTTGAGCTTTCCACAAATGTAGATACCAAGTGGTAGCAAGCATGATGATCGCAAGACGGTGCAAGGCCTCTTTGAAACAATCCTCCAGTTTAGTCTGCTTCAAGCTCCCGAAGCTGTGCTGAATGATAGACAGAAGCACAGGCGTGAAGAAAGATCAGGAAAGGTGTACAAATGCAGGAGATGCCATGACATTGACTTGAATGTTGTATCTAAGAGATGGACGTTCATAAGAGCGGGGAGTCGCGGTAACGGACGAGAGTATGGAATTGTGAGAAGGTGTAGGCCGTTGTCGAGAAGGAATCTTCATGCACTCCAAAGAAAATACCTTGACTTCATTACATACATGACTTTCTAACCTATCCCCAAGTATTGTCTTTTGCTCGTCACCGCGAGGCAGTGTTGAGTCTCAGCCCTATTGATCTCCATTTAGCTGAGGTTTCTCTCCAATGTTTTGGTGCATTCCTCACTTCCAAAATAGACCACCTCCAGCCAACCTGGGTTGCATTCCCGTCTCTCATTTGCTGCAGCTCAACTCTTTGCTTCAATTCTCCACTGTCTCTACCATTTTGCTACACTTTCTCCACTGAGCGTTCAACGTGTTGAGGTTGTTGGTTGCTCGCCCGAAGGTTGAGGATTGAGGAGTCACGGAGACAAGGCAAGAGCGACACTCGGACGCGCTCCGGATATTGCCTGAAGGAAGAAGACTTGTCGTATTCAGCAGCTCTCTCAGAATACATTATCAGTCTTCAAGGGGTGGGCGGCTGCTCGATACTTTTATACCGCGCTCTCTCTCTCTCACTCACTGACCAAGAGAATGATATCATAGCTTCTTTTATTTTTCAGCTTTACGGACTGATCATATGGCTTTCAGCTAGTATCCAGTGGGCGACAGCAGCCTTTGCAAGCATAATTTGCTCATATCCAGACTCGGTCGTCAGCCAACCACGGCGCCGGGTCAGCTTGGGCATCGATCAACGCGACCCATCGTCAGGAGGCGCCCGTCCAACCCTCATCTGCGAGATAAATTACAAATATGGATCAACATCATGCTCAAGGGAAAGCTCAAAGACGACGCCACCCGCTCAGCGATGCCACTAATTGGGTCAATAATCAATCCCCCACGCCAGTCCCCAGCTCAGACCACTACACCTCTTCTCCAGCCAGCATACCCCACCACGGATCTCTTGCACCCGGTGGCAACCTTCAGATTCTGAACGATCCCATTCCTCCTGTGGTGAAAGCAGAAGACAGGCGCATCTCGGCTATCTCCAGCGAAGATGCTCGGAACTCCAATCGCGACTCTCAGATCTCCAATGTTTCGACTAATGCGTCTGGTAAATCGCGACGCAAGACCCATATAGGGCCATGGCAACTGGGCAAGACGGTTGGGAAGGGGGCTTCGGGGCGAGTAAGGAAAGCGAGACATGCTGTTACGGGAAGATATGCTGCGATCAAGATCGTCAGCAGAAAATCGGCGGAGATGCTACGCAGCACTAGCTTGGCCGTCATGGATACGATGTTTCGGAATGACGACAAGGGTGCCATTCCAACAGGTATTGAGAGGGAGGTGGTCATCATGAAGCTAATTGAGCATCCGAACGTCATTAGTCTATACGATGTCTGGGAGAACAGGGGTGAACTGTGAGTCTACGATAGTCGCATCGCGATTGCAATGGACCGACTGACCGGAGCTCAAAGGTACCTTGTCCTGGAGTTCGTCGAAGGCGGCGAGCTCTTCGACCATATTATCAAAAACGGCCGTCTTCCGGAACCTGAAGCTGTTCGCATATTTCGTCAAATGATCTCCGGTCTCTCCTACTGCCACCGCTTCAACATCTGCCATCGAGACCTCAAGCCAGAAAACATCCTGATGGATCGGGATCGCAATATCAAGATCGTGGACTTTGGTATGGCTGCACTTCAGCCCGCCAACAAGTGGCTCAATACCTCCTGCGGAAGTCCACACTATGCATCTCCGGAAGTCATTCGCGCGGAAAACTACCGTGGAGACAAGGCAGATATCTGGTCCTGCGGTGTCATCCTCTTCGCCATGCTGACTGGGACGCTGCCGTTCGACAGTACTGGCGATTGGCGCAATGTCATTGACGCAGTACTGGCCGGCGAATACATCATTCCCCAAGGGGTTTCACAGCAAGCCGCAGATCTGATACTCAGAATATTGCAGCCGGACCCAAGACAACGAATTCCGATAAAGCACATGTGGCAACACCCACTCCTCAAAAAGTACGAGAACCTTGATAGTACGGATCACAATGGCAGACCTTACACTGGTCCTGCGCCACCATTGACAATACAGGATTGTGGAACGCCTATCAAGCGTCGAGACGACATTGACGATGTCCTACTGGGAAATCTGGGCAACCTGTGGCATGGTGTCAGTGTGGAGGAGCTTGCGGAGAAACTCTTGAGTGACGTGTAAGATTCATTGGGTTTAACTGTAAACCCCGTCGAGTTGCTAATCGTATATGCATCAGGCCAAATCATGAAAAGGTCCTCTATACCAAACTTCTCAGATTTCGAGACGAGCAGCTCGAAGACTACCAAGGTCCTCCAATCGAGTACTCAACCAGCGACTACCACCACAACCCACCACAACAGCGAGCGGCAAGGCGGTCTTCGACAAGACCTTCTCTTCAGACATCACGTAGTCAACGGCGGCAATCTCAGTACTCTATCCTCGAGCAAAGCGCGGCGCCACCTAGGAAGAGCCACAGCCAGAGTGTCCATCGACAGGCCAGCGTTGCAGAAACCGAGGAGAGCTATGATCCCTACCGGCCTTCCCGGGCCCAAATTGCGAAAGACCAAGCAGATCAAGCACGAATAACCCTACTTCGCGTCACGTCTCACGATACTTCCAGGAAGCCATCGACCCATCTGGGGAGTACGACGTCTGCACGGAATCCCGCAATTGCCAGAGCCCGAGGCGCAGAAGATGTATACAGTATCGCAAGCTCACCTCCTCCATCAATGACCATGCACAGCGCAGGTCCTTCACAGCTCCAGAGGATGATGACCAACCGGCAAATCTCACAAGGCAACTCCAGGATGACGATGTCCTCCCGACGTTCTATGAGAAGCAATTCATCCGTCGTTATCGCGCGAAAGTCGACGAGCTATAAACGCAACGTCAGCTTCGTACACAATCGTAAACGTTCCTTCAGCGGCCGTCATCCGCGCCTGCGAAGTCAGGAGCATCATACCTCGCCATTCACGCTACAAGAGAGATTCTTTAGAGATCAGTCTCAGTCGCATGCCAAAACCAAAGAAATCTCGCTTTCGCCCTCAACATCCATGAAGGAAAACCTTCGGTCAGAAGACCTGCCTGTCGTTCGCTCACGGAAGAGCCCAGTCAAAGAACACGCTGCAAAGAAGCCAAGAGTAGCAAGTCACTACTGGAGGGATGACGCCAGAAAGGTCAGCGTCGAGATGGAGAAGCTATGCGATGATGCTTTCAATCGTTCGCCAATCGCCTCCAGCATACCAACTCCAAGAACCGAAGCCACAGGTAATCGATCTTCTCAGAATACCTACTCCTCACCAGCGACTTCCTTCTCTGTGCATGAGGATCCAGTGCCGGTGTCTGTGACTCGTCACAGCAAAGCGAGGCAAATCGAGGTGGACTATCGACAACGTCCATTGCCTTTGCCACCAGCTACCGAGAGACGAATGGATTCTGAGCATCTAGGATCTTACACTCAGCGAGAGCTTGCGAAGACCAGAGATCTCCTCAAACAGCGAGCCGCTGAAGCAACTATGTCTCCAGGCTATCTCGACGAAGTCATCGCACACTTGGACCGACTGATGCAGCCCAGTACGATAAGACTGCATGAGGAGGAGCGACGAGCAGTCTCAACGCCTGATCCTAGTATTGGCATCCCACGCAAGGACACATTTGAGCAAATCATGGAGAAGAATAACATTGGCTTCCGCTCTGCATCAGAACCGTCCAAGAGACAGAACACTAATCATACACAGTCAACTATTAGAGTTGTAGAGTCTTCTGACGGTCTCAAGCCAATATCGCCTGTTAAGCCCCTTACCATACGTAAGAAGAGCGAATCATCTACACCATCCGCAGGATCACCGCGACAGATCATACCAACAGAGCGCTTGTTCACCACCGAAGAGTTGTATAGCCAGCAGGTCGAAGAACGCCGCTCCGCTGGCCTAGCACTTCTCGAAAACCCTAGCCTTGAGCCCATAGACGAAGGCGAGGATAAAGAGAATTTCGATCCTGCTACTCGAAGAACAGACTTTCCCGAACCCAGGAAGCGCAACTGGTTCCGCCGCCATCAGCCCGTCCAGCGGAGCCGAGACAATGACATGGGTCCTCCACTCCCAGTCAAGGGCCAGCAGCAGCCGCTGTCATATCTCCAGCCCTTAGGTCAGAAAGCCCGGAACCGTGCTTCCGACGTCCCGAGCGAGGAGTCCCAAACCAGTGAACACAAGAAAGGATCAGGCAAAGCTCGTTTCTTCAAGATCTTCTCCGGCAGACACGACTCCAAGGAGCCCGATAAATCAGCTGGCGGTGACTATGACCTCGGCGATGCCGACAGCCTAGTCACCGAAGACTCCACCTTCACTTACATTCCGCAACATGCATATATGAGCGGTGCGCTGCAGAACGCGAGCCACAACAGCGTCCTCAAGCCGAACAAGCATGGCAAAAACAACAACGCAGAGGATACCATGATGCCGCCGCCACCTCAAATTGCGAGAGTCATTGTACCACAACCACAAAATTGGCTAGCTCGCTTCTTGCGTATCAAGCCTGCCGTCAACGTGATGTGTTTCCAGGTTTCAAAAGTCCGCGCTCGCAAGGAAGTCGCTGGCGTCTTCCGAGAATGGCGAAAATATGGCATGCGTGATATCGTTGTTGACAAAGCTGCAGGGAGGATCTGGGCCAGGGTGGATGTCAAGAACTGTATGTGCCGTTTCTCCTCTCATCCATCGTTCACGATACCTCCTCATCCTGTCCCTTTCAATCCCCAAATATGTCACTTTCTCATTCCAACATATCGCCATATGCCATCTATGCTGATTTACTTGCAGCTCTCCACATACCCTCTCTCTCCATAGCCGCCGAATTCCACACCCTCCTCCACCGCGGCCGCCGCGCCAACATCGCCATTGCACGCTTCACGCAAGAGAAAGGCGCCAAATCATCTTTCGAGCGTGTTTTTGAAGCGTTGGAGCAAATTTTGAAGGCCAGAGGGCTGGTGGTAGAGGATAAGAAGATGGTCAAACAGATGAGGATCGGTGCGGGGATGTAGGTGTGTAAGTTCGCCCAAGGAAAGTGCATACACGAATAAGTCGGGTGGGTGTGGAAGGGGATGAGGGGAGCGAATGGAGGAAATAATGGTATCGACGAATGTTTATCCTGCATGATTACAAGCATCTGAAAGATACGAGGACACGACGAGGAGGTGGTTTGTCTTCTTGTATCAATGGTCGGCTGGATAGGTCTGATGATGGAGGATGGCATTGCGTAGGACAGGGATGGATAGTCCATTTCGACTGCTTTAACTTCATCAACTTTTTCAATTCAATGGAACAACTAATTGCATACTCGAACCTGGTCCAGAGGAGACTCGTGCATGCGTTCAGGAGACGGTGTCCGATGGATCTACGCGGCTGGAGGCCCGATGCTACAGTAGTTCGAGGGGTTCCGGGGCCTCGTCGGTCACATTGAATGTAAGATACCTGCAATTCGTTGCGGAGGGTCGAGGTCCGATCGTACCGGCAGACAGGTTCAGCCAGTGGTTCGACACTCTGAGGATAGAATTCCCCTCCGCCCGCGCTAGCTCACACAAAACTCCCATCTAGCCAACCTGCCCAAACCCTGCCCGGCTTCTCTGATGATGCACAGCTTCCTCGCGTTCGCCTGCTTTCCCTCCTCGTCCGCGCCGGCCACCCTCGCCACGGCCACATTCCCGATCGCCTCACACCTGCCTTCGCCCAGATGATAGTTACCCGTCGTCACGAAGCCGATCAAATCGACCTCATCCGGGACCGGCGGATACTCCTTCTCACCCGCTTTCGGCAACGCCGTCTCGGGGGATGCGACGCTGCCGCTGAGAAGGCTCGCGGCAAGGTTGTTGGCAACACGAGCATGCTGCGGGACATGCTTCGGAGGTGGTGGCCGTGAGTGTCGAGCACCCTTTGAGGCTTTAGGTGGGTTGGCCAGAGCGAGCCATTTTGCGCGCATCTCGGGGTTGCTGGTCGGGAGGCGGTAGATGCGTGCGCTGCGAGTAGGGTGGCCGGCTGTGAGGAGGGTGATGTGGACTGGGGAGAGAGCTGTAGGTGGGATTAGAGGCGTGGTTGAGGGGGGGTTAGGGAGGTGGTGGATCTTGAGGGGTGGGTTTGGGGCCTCGGTGGGGATTTGCTCTGGCTGTTGGTCTTTGGGCGGAGGCGGAGCAGGTTTGGTTGCGTCTGCGGCAGCTTTCTCAGGTCCTGCTGAAGAGTATTTCTCTGCAGCTTCTGTACGGGCCGGCGACGAAGGGCCTTGGAAAAGACGGTCCCAGTCGCAGGCCCAACCCATACCGAGTTCTCCTTTCCTCCCTTCCCCAAGATCTACTTTGTCCCATTCCGTCCTCTTGCCTTTTGGCCGCCGCTCCCACTCCTGCTTCTTTCTTTCTCGTTCCATCAGTTCCCATTGATACCCTGCTTTCGTACCAGGATAGTCCCCAGGGAACCAGGGTACGCCCTGCTCGAAAGACACCTGCTTCTTCTCTTGCAGACCGCCGAAGCGAGGGTTTCCGCCAGTGGAGAGAGGATAGTGCATCAGAGAATACCAGACGGGAAGGACGCAGTCCCAGGGGAGAAGCAAGGTCCACGTGCCTTGACCATTTTTGGTGCGTGGACGAGATGCTAGGAGTAGGACAGGGATCTTTGGGTCCTTGGGAGTTGGATTGGGGTATCCTCCTGGCAACGCCTCGCCTTTACGGCGGTTGATGGCTTTCTGGCTGGCTAATTGACGAGAAGCCGTGAGCCGCTTCGTCCGGTCGAACATGTCAGGCGTGGCTTGGGCCTGGTCAGGTGGCCATGATGACAGTAGCTCTGGCAATGTTTCATTGGCCACCTCGAAGACAGGCTGCGGGACAGTACGTGGTGGATAATGTAGCCGTGGGTCTGAGATGTTGAAGCCTAACATCACATTGGTGGGTAAACAGGCTGGATTCGTGACTGCTGCAAGCTGAGGCCAGACTTCCTCCGCCGATCCAACGTCCACCCATTCATCTTCTGCGAGGTTCTTTGCAGTAACCCTGGCAGCTTGCTCGGAAGCTTGCGATGGATGAAGAGCACCAATCAATGCCTCAGTAGATCCAGGTCCAACAATTTCGATGCTACCAATCTCGAACCTTAGATCCTCCACCATGACCTGTGGCCGTTGGATCTTGGCAACCTTCAAAATCTCGCTCCAGACCTGGAGGAAGGCAGACGGATGCACTCTCATAAGAAGTTTCCTCCTCGGTCTTTTCTTTTCCTGCTTGACCACTTGCTCTGCTCCATCTTTTCCCGCCAAATTGACCTCCATTCCCTCCCCATCTCCGCTCTTCGGTTCGGGCTCTGTCTCTAGTTCGGTTCCTTTCTCCTTATCGATCTGTCTTTCTTGTCCAGATTTTCCTTGATCTTCTGCGGGCGAGGCATCAAAACACCACACAATGCCAACTCTAGAGATCCACATCCTCTCGCCATCTCTCTCCCTAATCCAACCTTCCCAGCCTCTAGTACCTCTCCTCCATTTCGCCTCCCTCTTCCCAACAAGCATGTTCTCCTCTACTCCAATACCCTTCAGTAGCCCCAACAGACTGGGTTCAACCCCCTCGATTCCAATAGTGCTTATATAGCTCGTATCCCAAGCAACACAGCCTCTCAAAGATGCAGCACGATGCGTAGGCCTATAGCATTTATCCGTCGGCGTCAAGGGTATCGCAAATCGCCATAATGGCTCCTTCGGCGGAGTCATATGCGCTCTCTTTGCATGGTACAGATGTGTAGGAAGCCACTGCTTATGGACTTGGCGTTTGCGGAATTTGGCTGGAGGGTTTGCAGGTTTTGCAAGGGTATCTTTCTTGAGCTTGCGTGATCGAGGAACAATAGCCACCATCTTTTCAGGATCTGTTTCCCCAGGCTTTTGCGTCTTTGCCGCAGCACGCTTCTTCTTAGTCAGAGCGCCCAGCTCTTTGAGTTTCTTTGCCTTCTCGAGTCGGAGTCTCTGGTGGGGTGTTGGCTTTCTTCGACGAGCCGTTACCGTTGGCGCATTATCTTCCTTCATCTTTCCACTTGCGGTACTATGTCAGCCATTCATCTCCATTGAAGATCTTGCTTGTGGCCCCGACGCACCTCCTTTGCTGCCCTCGCTCTGAGCCTCTTGGGCACCCTCTTCACATTATGACTAGCTGTCCTTCTCCTCAGATCCTTCGGCACCTGCTGGAACGCTCTCGTAGAAAGGCTGTTTTTCGAAGCCCCCATGCTCGCAGCCATTGCTTTGATCTCAAACTCGCGAGCCTTGACGAAGGCGGATACGTCAAGATCGCCATTCTTGCTCAAGGCTTTGTCGGAAGTCTGGGCGAGGATGTTTCTGGCTGAAGAGGTTTTGACGCGTTTGGCTGCACGCTTAGCGGATGGGGGAGGATTGCTATGGTGGGGAGACTGCTTGCGTTTAAGGGGCCCCGAGGGAGCCATTGTACGCCGAAGGTTCGAGACACAGCTCTAGAATATGCCACTATACATCCGTATGGATCAAGACTTCGTTGAGTACGACGAGAGAATGATTGAGTTCAACGCGCTTGGCACGTCTTGTGCGCACAGTTACTCATACAAGTAAGCTAGGCCGAGGATGACCAGATGGCAGATTAGAGTTTCGAACACAAGTAAGATTACTCTAAGTTGAGGATCGCCCAGGCTTTCCTCTCGCAGTTGTCTCTGCCATTGTATAATTATAACGGTTTGAAAGCCATTCAGCATGCGAATATCACCCAGTCCATGCCAAAGCTAAGGTATACCATATACCTAAGCATACCGCTTGCTACACCTCTAAACAAACATGGAACTACGGGCATGCTGCCAGGAAAGTAGCAATTTTCGGTCCTAGCTTCCTCCAAATTTAACGCACTCAGAGAGTCAGAGGTAACAAGCCAAGACGCTCTGGTGAGCGACGAAGTCCGAACAGAGATGCTTTATGAACCTTGTACTTTGTGATTATGTTTATTAAGATTCGAGGGGTTTCTACCCTATTGCCATTTTTTCAAGCAACACCCCCACCGACCACCGTGGGGCATTCCACTTGCTCAAAATTTATACAGTAACGCGACAACTCAGCACTCCTCATCTTCATCTTCCTTTCCACCCATTCTACTCGTCATCGTTCTCCATCTCCCGCCCTTCGCCTGCGTTATCGTACTGACGAGCTTGGGAGGAGCGTCTCTCGACTCCCCGATTGGATATTTGATTTGGGCTGCAGGTACATTAGTCACAGTCATGCAAAGGTCGGCGATAGCATTGACTCACCCATGCCAATAGGATGGCAGTTTTGATAGATGTTTTCCCATGCACCTTTCGGCACAGCGTACGTTTCATGCATAATGCCCATATGGGGATACTTCTTGTTCTGCGCAGCCCACCAGTCCCAGCCCAGACGATGGGTCGGGCCATGAGCGAATGCGTGCAAATTTTCTATGTCCTTCCGGTAGGAGATGGTCACCAAAGCATTGCCGCCTGCAGTAGCCATTTGCATGGTGTTCGCTTTTCCGAGATCTATCACCGAGTCAGCTACAGAGCAGTCAGGAATGCTTCCAAGTACTCACAGCCCCACTTCTCGCGGTCTGCTTCAGCATCCTTCCACATGTTTTGAAAGTAATCGCCTACATTCGCGAAACCTGGGGCGAAAAGACCCATTGGGCTGTCAGTGATTAGTGATTATCCCTTGACTCTTTGATTTTCCTCGGAGAAAGGCTCACTGATTGGTGTTCGCTCCCACGATGAAGACAACCAAGCCCTTATCAGCAGCCTTAGCTGGGATCGAGCCATCCTCGTGGGGTATTGGTGCTGTGCTCTTGTTCAAGAAAGCTCCATCGGTGTATGTATTGTGGAGATAGCCCAGGGTGATCAATGCACCTTTGGCGAGGCGTAGTAGGAGAAGAATCACGGCAGGAAGGAGAGCAACAGGGCGAGGAAGCGTAAGGAAGAGAATTGATTGAGCGCAGCCACCAGCGGCGAGCCATGTCTATCATAATTTGGAGTCAGCATTGCCTATTAAAGGGGGTGCATTAGGCCTTGGAACATGTCTACAGAGTAGACAACCCCCAAGACATGTCTCAAGACTTCAAGTAAATTTGGTCTGACGCTGATGCTGAAATTGGCGAGGAGCAAATCTGCCATGTTGCCTGATATATATATAATTTTGGTGTAATCAATGAGACGCTGAGATCAGAGACCTCCTACGATGAAACGATTGGGCAATCGAATCTAGGCGCTCTGCTGTTTCTAGGTCTGGAAAGAAAAGGAACGAATCTAGGAGATGAAATACCCCAATTCAGGATTATTCTAACACCCCGACTCCGCCCTTACCTGACTGAACGAAGCAAACTTGTCTGCACAATGAAGCGCTTTTATTTGTGTTTACACCGTGCACCGTGCCACGCAGACAGTCCCGAGCTTGTTTCCTAGGGCCCAACTTTTTTTGCCAACTGCAGTCCGAATGGAATCCGAGTGTTCGTATTCCGTACGTGATGTGACCGGCATGATCTTTCTTTCAAGGAAAAGCCCGAGTTCGGAGATGGTCGAAACATTTGCAGCTCCACCGCTATCCGAACAACCCCGCCCACCCACCCTGAAGCATCTCCAGTCTCCCCTCTCGCCTCCGTCCCGCCCGACCCCGTCCGCCGTTAACAATTGGGTACCATCATGGCACAGCACAAACCTCCCTTCACCCTCGAAACCGCTCACCGAAAAGTCAAAGCCGCCCAAGCCCTCTGGAACACCCGAGACCCCTCCAAAGTGGCCCAAGCCTACACCCCCACGTCCATCTGGCGCAACCGCAGCACCTTCCTGCGCGGACACGCCGCGATCGAGGATTTCTTGACGAAGAAATGGGAGAAGGAGAAGGAGTATCGACTGCGCAAGGAACTCTTTGCGCAGCAGGACAACAGGATAGGTGTACAGTTCTGGGTTTGTACCTATCGGAGTGATTCCTTCCTTCCTTCCTTCTGAAGGCCGAAACTCCGGGCTGCAAGACAAGATGTCCCGAGCACAAGGCTCTTTCTAGACCCGAGACCTGTCTTGCGAGTCGGAGTTTTACCCTTGATACCCAATGCTGACTGCCGAAATGTGCGCAGTACGAATACAGGGATGCGCAGGATTCCATGATCTGGAAACGCTGTTATGGCATTGAGCACTGGACTTTTGCTGCCGATGGGAAGATGGAGAAGAGGATGATGAGTGGGAACGATGTGGTGATTGGAGAGGAAGAGAGATGGTTCAAGGACGGGGCGGATGTTGACAGCGTTGCCCTGGGAGAGGCGGACTTCCAAGGGCAGTGAAGGAAAGAAGAATGGAGGTGGGAGGGGCAAGGATGCGGGAAGAAATTGTCCTGGTGGCGGTGGGCGTTAGGATTCACATCAAGGAGACACGGAGGATGCTGTATAGAGGGTAGATACCAGAGGTACGCGATGGATGCAATTGTTAAGTAAAAGCATACTACATGGAAAGATGGTTGTTAGACCGAGAGGGTTTCGTGGTGCGTATTGTCAAGGTCAAGATGCAGCTTCAACCTACGTTGCTAAAGCATCATAACCACAAAAATGTCCCACGACTTGCCATGCTTTTAACGAATCCTGTAGAATTATTGCGGCATGAGAATCAGTGAACTCGTCTGATTATTAGTTCCACATTGCTACCTATCTACCCGCCTCTCTGACCTTGCTCTTCCAAAAAGTATCCTCGCGAGCAATAAAATGGGTGATCAGACAACCTATTCCCTTTCTCGTAAATCTTGCTTCTAGGGCTTCAGCGCGTGTGCGCTCCGATCTGGTAGAAATACAAGTCAAGAAAGATAAAAATCGCGCGATTTGCCTTGGAACAGGAGGAAATCCTGAAACGCACGCCGCACGCTGAAGAAATGCCTGGATTTTGTAGCCGCCCGTGGTTGTCGCAGATTGTTGCTGGAAAGAAAATCGGGGTTTCGGGTATTAGTGTACGTAGCTGTATACCGTACCGAGTTGCGGCGTGGAAGCGAGGGAGAAGGAGAGATCGGAGACAATAGACGGTTGGCAGACAAGCTTCCAATCCAGCAGAAACCTGTCCTTCAGCCACTTCGGTCCACTTGTCGGACGCTCCAATTCGGACGTTGCAAATTGAGAATTCTCCCCACGAATGCGAAAGCATGCCTAGCTAGGACCCTTTTTGTTCAAGGCCCTTAACATATCACTATCCGCACTCGACCTGCCACCAGAGTTGTCTTGCGCCTGTCCTGGACCTAGCAAATCTCGGACAGCCATCCCTCCCCGCTGCGCACTACCGTTGCCATTTCCATTGCCGTTGCCCTCACGAGTCTGTCCCTGCGCCGGTGGAGGTGTCCGTCCTTCTCTTGGAGGCAACACTTGAGGTGGGTGGAGACCACCGGGGTAATTGTAGGCAGAAGCGGATGAGGTGCTTCCGTGAGGCGAGCCCGAGGCACGTGCATCGTATGAGTAGGCCGATTGAGGCGATGTGCGACGTGCTGGCGGGGGCTGCTGCTGCTGCTGCTGTGGCGGGGGCGGTTGCGGCTGTTGAGGGGGAGGATAGTAAGGATTTGGACCCTGTGGCGGGTAAGGAGCTGATTGATAAGAAGTCGCAGATGATGCAGGTGAAACAGGGACAAGGCCAGTTGGGTCTGGATACTCATATGCCCCACCGGAGCCACGGCGACCAGTTGAGGCCGGAGGACGACCCTGGTAGGGGTGAGAGGAGTACTCTTCTGGAGGTGCAGGTGGGGGAGGAGCAGGCTGGAAAGACTCGTCCGAACGGAGACGTTTGAGACTCACTTTATCTTGAGCATGGGGAGGCTGTGGGTGGCCTCGATCATCGTAGACGGGGCCGCCTTGATATGGCCCAGGAGGCGGCATAGGGTAGCCGTGAGGCGGCGGGTAATTAGGGTCGTGTGTCATTGGCCCCAGTGGTTGTCCGTGAGCCCCGTAAATAGCAGGCTGCCCTTGTTGAGGATACAACGGCCTTCCACCACGTTGGGGTTGCAGAGCCCCAGTATTGCGAAGGTGTGGATACGCAGTGTGGGCTGGCACAAAGGCTTGCGCTTGGGAGGAGACTGGGGTGAAGATGCATTCTTGCTGGAAGCGTTGGCAGTTGGTACATCGACCGTCATCTGATGCTTCGAAGCCAGAGCAACGAATCTGCACCGGATCAGCATGACTCGAGACATGTTCGAGGCGAGCCATGACGTACCTTGCGCCGCCTACAATAGCGACACGCGATGGCCGTCCGCTGCCTCGGTGCCGGTTGACTCTGATAGCCCATGTGAGGTTGTCCCATAGCTCGAGGATCGGGAGGCCCGTAAGGAGAATACATATCGTGGGGTGGCATTGCGTATCGCATGTCTGGATGGCCCTGTGGAGGTGGAGGTAGAGTTACCATCTCGCCAGGTGTTGATGGAGAACTTCCGTAGCCCGGTTGCGGAGGACCCTTTGCGAGCTTACGTTAGCAGAGGGACAGAACGACGAAGGTGATGATGATGATGATGATGATTGATGTAGAGGTACTTACTCGATAATGTGGTGGGACTGGATATGCACCTCTTTGTGGTTGGCTATCCCACTGCGGAGGCGGATACTGTCCGGGTTTGTTTGGATCGCTGGACATTGGCGGAATGCGAGGCGGTTGACCTTTTGTGAGTGAAGTTGTTTTAGAGATGCCTTGGACCTATTCTCATGTTCCTCAAGTAGCGGTCAGATTTGGGTCAGGAGACGGTTGTGGGTAGTGGGTCGGATGGAATGACCAGATCGAAAAATAAAGTTGCGGTGAAGGCCGAGCGGCGATGGATGACAGGTTCACAGTTAACGACCGGGTGTTCGTGAAGGGTAGAAGCGGAAGGAGCGACTGATTGAGTAAGCTCCGATGCTCGTGATGGCTATTGGATGCTTCAATTGAGGACCAGTGGCGAATGATCGAGGACGTGTGTCGAGAGGAAGTTATGTGTTGGCGGGTGTTGGATGATTGGTGATTAGTGATTGGGGGGAGGGGATGAAGGGCGAAATGCGATGTGTAAATGTGTAAATGTGTAAATGATGTTTTTTTTTAATCTATTTTTTATTAATTTATTTTTTGGTTGGAAGAATTGTGATGAGTTTGGGGGAAGGGAAGGGACGGACCCAGCTGAATGGGTTCCGGGTATTTAGGTTCCCTTTTTTTCGCACGCTGGTAAAAGCCGGTCCTTGGGAATTGTGGCAGGCGGGAGCGGCACCTGTCTTTCTTAGTCTCATAGACCGATGTGCTTGCTGTGTCCAGCGGCAAAATTCAATCAATATTATCTCTATCACTGGCTAGGTATATAAGTCCAAGAATCCTGCGAGGTCTGTGACGGCCGTCTGAGAAGGAGAATGGTGGTCGAGGTAGGATCCCGCGTGGTGCGTGTGGGCTTGAAGGAGCAACGTAAAGTACAGTAAGGTATGAGCGTTTTGCTTAGTGTTGGAGCCTGACCAGTGACCATACTTTTTAGTACACGAATCCGCCTCGTACTCCACCTATACCGCCACTTGTAATAACAATAATAACAATCAATAATACATACTTAATAACAGTAACAAGAATGATCATCCAGGTCAGCTGTGTGAAATGTGAATTTGAACCAAAGGCACCCGGCTGGAAATCGGAAAGTTTATGCTGCTTCTCGTTTAGAGACATCCAGCGTCCAAAAGTCTAAGAAGGGATGTCGCGCTCCCCTTTATGCCGAAAGCTTGTTGGGTGTAGGGGTGGGAGGTGATGCGGTGACTTAAAAAAGATGCAACACAATACAACAAAACACATAAACAAGGGAAAAATGGAAACTGGGAACGAAGAAAATCAGTTTCACCTTGATCAGTTGATTACGGTACTTTACATTCTACGACGTCTAAACTGCTTGCTCAGGGCTGACAGCTGAAAGAACGCGACCATATATAAAGGTACCCTTGTAACCTCCTGGTTTCATAATGCTTCCCTGCGACATGTGTGAATCTTTGCTCAGGACAAGTGTATGTATTCGATCCATACATAAAGCGCTGACTTTGATCCCGTATTCAATACATCTCGTAGGCTTAAAGTGGCAGTGAGTATGATGAGTGTGCTTTGGCGAACCCGAACCGCTGCAAGGTCAAAATTGGGCTGATGCACGAAGGCTCAGCCCGCGCTGGAATCGTTGTCATTGGCGGGATCTTTCGCTGATTATGTACACTTTGGGAATAGCTGGCTCAGTTGGCTTGGGGGCCACTTCCTTCGTCTTGGTACCTCCTTGCCGTCTTTCCCCTGTCCCTTGCTCCCAGGCATGCCGGGGTCAAAGCGCATTTGCTGGAATCAAGTCATTGCTATCAAAGCAATGTTTCGATCGAAAGAGTACGGCGGCATAAGTGCAAGAAAGAGATGGCGAGAAATAGTAGGGAAAAGATAGACGGGTGACGAATGAGCGCGTTGATCGGTGGGCCGGAATGGAGATAGTGTGGATGATATAAACCTTGACGACCACGCGAGGATCGACCACGCCGCCTGAGGTGCCGCTGCTCCAGGATGATGACCCTAGTCCTTAGCTCTCCTCACGGCCGAAAGTCTCTTTTCTCTCTGTAAAGTAATCCGCATCAGGAGGCCACCCAGAAAATGGCGCCAATAATTGTCAGAGCCACGCACGGTTTGGGCCAGCAAGGCACGATACTTTTTCTCAGGCCATGGAAAAAAGGGCGTCTGGCCTTTACATCTCGTGCGCATGGAAGACAGGGTTTTCGTGCATGCGTCAAGCCGAGGCTGACGTGGCTTATGCATTATCGAGATCAAGTAGGTAGTACGGAGTGCGAAGCTCCGACGAGCGTGTGAACACGTTACAGGAATTACGGTTCGGCACGAAGGAAAGCCATCAGGGTTTGGCCGTGTCAGACTCTCGATACTTACATGTATGATGCCACAGCGCCAATTAGTGGAGAAAGTTCAAAAAGACAACATTTCCCGCTCGAGGTGACTTTGGTTTCAAGCCATGCACCAAAGCCAATCCCGGCCAAGTGGCAACTTCTTTTGCCAAACTCCCAGCTTTGCCGCTCGTAATCTTGACTCCCTCAGAGCGGTGTGGTCGACGGTAATAGTATTTCGCAATCTTGCCTGACTGTGGCTAGCTGAAGGTGTCATGTGCAAGCGATCAAGTCGAGAACGTTCCAATAAGCTGCAGTAGTTGGAAGCCTGAACGGATTTCCCTCATCAAATCTCTCCGCACATGTGCGCATCCACACCAAGTCCCTGTGCAGGGATATTCTTGGGCATCGACGCGCAGAAAAGCTAAGCCGTTCCGAGACAAGCACCAGGTGCGAATCTGCGAAAGCGTGCTGCACGTAATGACGCACTTTAGCGTAGAAACAGGGGGTTGCCGCTGAAGTGTGGCACAGTATTTGTTATGAGGGGCACTGCTGGTTCATGCTTTCCAAAAGAAAAGAAAATTCTAATACGGGGAGTGCAATAAATGCTGACAAAAGCCGTCTTAACGATGTAGAATTTACTCTCCGCGATCATCTTAACAATGCCGTATTTTGCCAGTATCCATATTGTCACGCATGTGGTGGTGGCTGATGGCCTTTTGACTCTTGCCTGGTACACAAATCCCACCACATGCGTCGCCCCTCCCCCCCCCCTCCTTGGGAATCGGGTGCGCCATTTAGACCGACAGACTGCATGGCATAGCGGGGACCGTCAATTTCCGACCTACGCCTAGAACACCTTTGACATGTAGGTTGTCACACCGCTTGATTGTGGGGTCCTTGACGTAAGGAGAATTGATTCCATTCGCTATGGCGCATGATTGGGGCTTGTGAGACTTGAGTAAGATGGGAAATGGAAAATGGAAGATGGAAAAAGGTAGGGAGTGGACTGGTTGAGATCAAGGCTCGTTTACCGCGCACCGAAGGTTCGGCTAGAAAGGCAACTCTGAAGCTATGCGGCCCCATAGGGTAGAGGGTAGAGCCGGTGCGAGCAGCGGGCTGGCTTTTGGGGAATTGGGATATTTCGCTTGGGTTCCATGCTGACGGCTCGAAGCGAGTGCCATGTGTCTCGGTGTCTCGTGAGGCTGCCGTGATCAGAAGCGGGAACGGGACGCTGCATGGGGGGGCGTGTATCAATATGAGACAAGGCTCAGCGCTTCGAAGCATGCAAGCCAAAAGATGCAAGTAATATTGATGCAGGCTCGGCAAGGACAGCTGCTCCTTTGCTCATTCGCTTCAAGCCTACGAATGGTGGTGTCTTGTGATCACGTCAATTTCCGTTCACCCGAACGTTCCATGTTCGATGCTGCGTGCGGAGGCAAGTAAAAGCGCAAGCATGAATCCTGATCGCTTCATTTGGCCCTCCATTGCGAAAGAAAGAAACTTCGCATGGATGTGGACTTCGGCGTTGGAGGATGCTACAGCCTACGACTATGTCATCGAATGAAGCAATCTTCTACCTCATCTTCTGTTACACCACCTGGTTTCACGCGAAGCGCATGGATGTCAGCGCGGTCCCACTTCGGTCCTGATGGTGATGAGACTAGGCTGCCTCTCTTCGATGTAAGTGCAACGGCGGATAGTGTTGTTTCTATTTGCAGATCTTGGAATCAGCCCGTCGTAGCTCTTGGAAGGCAGGATTTTGACATGTGTTTACGAAATAGTGTAAAGTGGCGCCATTATTGTGATGGCTAAGGTACGGGTCGGTCGATACGGATTACGGAGTCGAGAAAAGATGTAGCTAGGAGCCTAAAAGGGCTTGTTACGGCAGAAGGATGAAGTTGTCCAACCGCCTGGTGTGCTACTACTAGGTTCAGGGTAGTAGGTATGTCGGTAGTAGGTATGTCGGTCGTAGGTATGTCGAGCAATGCGGCCAAGAATGCGTCCGTCTTGGGCGGGCGAATGATTTCCCCAGGGATGACACGGACCTTGTCCAGTGGTAAGTGTAAGGTAGTGGTAATCCATTGGCTTCGGCCGAGTCGGGAGTGCGGTTTGTCGCTGCTTTAGGGGTCAAGGGTCAAAATCCTGCGGGCCAATACGGCAGGGTAGTATGCCGGTAAAGTAAAGTAGTGTTGTGGAAGGTCAGATGACTGGAAATGTATGCGAGTCTAAGAGCTAGATTCCGCTCGAATTTTAAAGTAAAACATGCTTGATGGAAAAGACGATAAATTAGACGAATTAACGGAGGCGGAAGGGATGCTCAGCGGGCCGAGAATTTCTACTTTCTTTTCTATCCCAGGCCAAGGCCTCAACAATAATCAAATTATCAACATTCCTTGATCAAGATTCCTTCAAATGATTGAAGTCAACCACCACGGGGAAATAGGGTCAGGTAATGAAAGGCAATAGAGCACAGGAGTCGAATGATCATGGGCTTATCGACTGCTGGCAGGTACTCGTACTCGTAACGTACTGTGGCCAACTGCCTGGGAGGATCTGCCGAGTAGGGTGTATTGGCGATGCCAGCTCATCATCAATGGACTGGAACATGTGGAAGGTGTGAGTACGATGAGGTGTTTGTGCATGATGCAGGCCGCGTTGCCAGTTGATCAGGACATTTCTATGTAATGCGCCCGTCGAGGGAACGAGGAGCGAATGCATTAGCGCTATTTGCTAGCCAAAACTCCAAACTGTGATCACATGCGGGAGGAAGGAGGGAACCACTCGAAAGAGTGCTTGAGTTGGAAAAGCAGACAAAACAGGCATGGCATGACTTACAAGCATCGCAGCATGCAGTCACAGTACCAATTACGAGGTTAGCTTCCTAGGATTACCGTCGCTGCCCTGAGACCGAATGCAAGAGCACGACTGGGACAATGACGACGATCTCCGATAGCTCGTACATAGTAACAAGAGGATGTTCGAGTCATCCAGCTTTGTAGTGAAACTCAACATCTTGTGGCTGCATGCATGCTTCTCTTGATGGCTACTGCAATTACCAGGTAGACCCGGTAAAGAAATTTCGAGTCGGAATCCGTTGAAGGTTTGAATGTTGCGCAAGCTACCTTTAATGATGCTAAGGTAGGTATCCGAGGTATCTTATCTTACCACGGCAAAAGTTACCTGCCTCCTGAGTCGGCATCTATAATGTAAGTTCAGAAGTGCAGTCTTATCGAGATGTTACTTTAGCATTATAATTGCCTTCTTGGCTTTCTCAATTGTAAAAGCATGTCGCCGGCTTTCTTAGAATACCCCGAGCTTTGCCGAGGGTGACTTGCAGTTGCACATGGAAAGCTGTTGCGTCGAGATCCTTGCTCCTGCAATTCTAACGAGAGATCCCATCGGTCAGCTACGAAGATATTTCGTGAAAAAGAAAGGAAAAAAAGAAAGAAAACAAAGAAAAAAAGAGGCTTGCGCCAAATTGGGCTTGAAGAGCGATCGGGTAAGTATTGGATTGTCGAGCCCACATGCGACTCAACGGACCTATTTAGACGGACGAACGTGGGTAGCACCAGGTATGGAGCTCAATGCCTAGGGCTCACATCTAGGCCAGCTAGGAAGACTTGGTAACATAGTCATTGACGGGCATAGGATTCAGTCAGACCGTTTTCCATACCGAACAGGTATGAGAGGAACTATGAAGCGCACAAAGAATCAGCAGACACGTGCTAAAATCAAATATTCATGTTGCATGCTATTCGAACGAGTCTACGTCACACTGTGCAATTCGCTGTCTATCTGATGCACCCTGCTTGCTGTTTTCCACCGTCAAATGCATCCTTGTGAAGGTTGCCTCTTTGAGCCTGACTGTTTTGTGGTTCAATACCCGTGCCTTGCTGCGGTGCTACTCTGCCCTAGCCAAGAAACAGAAACTCGACTAGGCGTTGCGAGCAGCAAGCAGCAAAGCATCCAATGCCTCACAAGCCTCTAGGGACTTTGAAGCAAGCATACGAATCATTCCGGGAGAAAAGGACCAAACTTTTCTCATCATACGTCCACCAGACACCCCTTGCCTCTCCATCAATCGCTCCATCACAACCGGCCTCCCATCGCATCTTGCAGGTCGTCCCCTAGTTCACCAGTAAGTCCACCTGGGATAAGGGCATAGAGAAGCTTCCACTCCAAGTCTCCGATTGCGTCCATGGTATTGGCCTCAAGGTCGATATGCTCCGTGACATGTGCGATTCTTCCGAAGGGTCCCATGTTGGGTCGAGTGACTGGATTGTTGGCGATGACGTCCGCATAGAACTGTTGAATCATGACCAATTAGCAAAACCATTACCAGTCATGGGCCAGCTTATAAGCGGGATTGCCCATGCTTACCTCAACAACATCTTCATCCATGTGTGGCTTACGGCCAAGGACTTCGAACGGCCACCATTGACTTAGTGGGCTAATACGGAAGTGGTGACGCGCATAATCAGTCGCTTCGGAAAGCTCCCAGCGCTGTTTCTCTGAAAAGCCTGCAGCATTCAATGCGGCCGACAAGAGATCTCTTAACAGGTCTTCTGTGATATGGGGGGATCCTGTGAACTTGGAACCGCCCCTCTTCATTGGAGAACCATAGGAACTGGCAGGACTATGATCATCAAAGCCTCCGGCAGAAGATTTGTAGCTCTTGCTCAGGTTGATGGACAGAATGTGTAACATCGAGCGAGTGGCGGCGAAAATCTGGTTGCGGGTAGCCAAGGTGTAGTGTTTTGTCGCATACCAAGGGAACTTGGCAAGGAGCGAGATCATTGCTTCATAAGTACGTTGCGGAGATCGCTGAGTGAAGTTTGACTGCAGGCATTTGTCAGTCGAGCAATGAACGAAGGGTAGAGGCCGGTCATATCACTCACGCGATGCGGCTGCTCAGCATGCCGGACCAGCAAACCCATCTCCTCCGCACTGACAAAGGTCTTAAACCCTGTGTTGTACAGTTCCTTTGCCTCTTGGATCGTGGGCATCCCTCCCTCCCAGTTCACATTCTTCGCCTTGGGGAAAAGCTCCTTGAGCAATTCAGCCTGACTACTCGTGGCCACATCCACAACACGGTCATTGACGCGGACCATGTGCCTAGGACGAAGGTTGAGGGAATTGGAGGCAGCGCGAGCATCCGGCGTGGAAAAAAACTCGACATAGCAATCCATCGTCTTGCCTGTGGGGCGATCCATGATGATGTGGATGGCTGGACCGACGTCTGAGGTGATGACCTTAGCATGAGGTCCCAGGAATGCCATGACTTGGGCCTTGGTGAGGTCATAGGGAATCTGGTACGGGGATAGATGTCAGCTTTGGCAATGTAGTAAAAGAGTAAACATGAGGAACGAAATCTTCGCTAGACGGCAAAACTTCGGGCGCAGAGACAACCAAAAGACAGACTCTCCGTAAATATCAGTCATACTGTTCAAAATCATTCCCCAAATGTTACAGATGCAGGTACTCCAAAGAAGTGAAGAAATGCCTGAATGAAGAGTAACGCAATTTAAAGCTAAAGTACAATGCGAGCTACTGCAGCTCTGTAAAGAGGTACTGGAGTCACTGCAGAGGAACATTTGTCCTTAGACTGTGTCCAGCTGACCAAGGTCAACCATTGATAGACGTATATCTTTCTGAAGGACAGTAGTGGCCAAGACATGAATGTCGCGACGCATGAAAGCATCCTCAAAATTATTTCTTACTTACGTTTCCAACCTTCAGCACACCCCATTCAGCCGGCTTTGTTGATCTGGCTGTCTCGATAAAGGGTACGTTCTCTTCGGCGGACACTGTGTCAAGGCTAGGAGGAACGTCGCGAGTAAGGTTCTGAAAGCGAACGCTGGCTCCCCCAAAGGTGTGTGGGAACATAGCATCTGATCCAGCACGATAGGGTAAGGAAGGCAGGTCTGGCTTCACGGTTAGCTGAGGGCCGAATCGATTCTGCCACTCCGAAATCTGATGGAAGGCTCCAGGAAGCTGACGAGCTTGAGCTATCGCAGGTGTTTGAAAGGCAGTGGTCTGAGCGTAGAGAGGAGCGATACGATTCGTCGCAGGCGGACGTGCGTAGGAACGATCGTTCGGCAGCGGAGGAGGTAGGTATTCTGGACGACCAATCGTAGGCTGCTGGCCGTACATTGGATAAGCGGAAGTAGGCTGTCCATAGGGCTGCGGCCAGAAATTGCCATACGCCATGGGCTGAGGAGCAACGTAAGAGGACTGTTGGTAGCCAAAGGCCTGCGGGTACTGCATTTGACTAGGATGTCCACTAGGTCCAACAAGAAAAGCGCCGGGATACCCGCCGAACTGGTGCTGTGGAGGTCCACCATAAGCGAAAGTCAACGCTCCGGTTGGCCCATTTCCAACTTCAGTGTAACTACCGTGGGGAGGAACTGATGACATAATGCCACCTTGGCCAAATCCAGCTGCGCCTTGCTGCCCCATATTGTGTGGGTTAGAAGCTGTGATAGGATCATGCAATTGAGGACGAGTCTGGCCGACGCTGCGAGGAAAAAGAGCCTGAGTCTTTCGCTGGACTCCATCTCCGATGGTAGTTGGTAGGTTGGCATTACGACGCTGGTCCATAGGCACATCGATTGTAGAAGAATCTCCTCCCAATGATTGAAGCTGCGAGTTATTGGACTTGCGGCTCTCGACAGCAGCGGGCTGGTCGCTGAAAGCCAGCTTGTTGGTAGTCGTTGGGGTACGACCACTTGTGTCGGAGCGGATCCCTTCTCCTACCGGTGAGAGCATAAACTGAACCAGGTCTTCGATATCTCTCACGATTTGCTCGCGCAGCGCTCCAAGGCTAATGAAACGTCCGCCTACTTCGGTCACGTTCTGTGCCTCACTTGCACTAAGTGGATTCGGAGGTCCGATTGGCCCAAAAATGCGCTCGTAGAAAAAGCTGCGGATGACGTCGGGACGAGATTGGAGCCCTGAAGGTAGATCACCACTTCCTGCTTCCAATTCGTGGACGCATTCTCGAAGTCTGTCAAGCTCAGGCGGTGTTGGTACTAGCCTGAGCTCGTTGTCAGTGCCTAGGAGATAGCATGAGGATATTCAAACTTACTGATTGGTATGGTTGCCCTTCCGACCAGCAGCGAGCGTATCACTATTCTCACACAAACGTGTTTCAGTAGGCGCAGTCGACACCTGACGGCCACGAAGCTGCTCATTCTTATCTCCCGCTTCACGAACGAGGCGTTGCATATGCGCGTTCTGGGTTGACGAGCGCCGAGATCCCTCTATACGCGAGCCCATTTGATCAACAGCGTGAGAGATTTCATGGTTCAAAGATTGCCTCTCAGGGGATACGGTGATGATGGACTCACGCCGAGCCTCTAAGTTCCATATCTCCTCGGGCTGCAAGAGCCAGCGGTCGTCGAAAACACTACTGTTCCAATCATGGATTCCTTGGTGTTCTGCAAGCTGAGGGAAGTTGGCATTTTGGGGTAGTGTCGTGGTGGGCATGGTCTTGTCAGATTGATTCAAAGGAACTCCTGAGCTTGGATGAATCTCAGCCTCGGAACTGAACGGACTGTCATTGGTCCCAGCATGCGTCGATATGTTATGGGCCATCGTGCTGAATGAAGGACCCTTGTGATAATGACCTAGAGTTGATGACCCTTGAGCACTGCGTAGAGTTGTGAGAAATTCTGCGGCTTGGATATCTCCTCGATTGTGATTCTCGCGAGGGGGGGCTGAAGAGGGCATGAACGCTCCGTGGGAAGTGAGACTACCGCGTTGCTTTGGGTCCAGAGATACTCCTGTGTACTGTTGGTCTGACACAGGAGTGGGTGCCAGCTTTTGTCCCTGGTACTGTTGATTTGATGAAGGAGTCATCGTCTGAGATGTCAGAAGTTAGTGTTGTAGGTGATTGACAAATAGGACCCTCTCACCTGGGCCACTGACGACAATAACGACGAAGAGGTTTGATCTTGGACTTTCATATCATTTGGAGATGCCAGTGGTATGAATGTTGATGGAGGAGAGTAGTATGGTTCTGCTGAGTCCTCTTCTTCGTATGCCTCGGGTCGAAATCTTTGTGAGGGATAATCAGATTCGAAGAAAGGTTCCAAGATGTCGAGGTTCTGAGATGAATGGAAAGCGGAGGTAGTAAGATTGAGCTGTGTTGACCCGCTTCCAGCCACCACAGTTGCCGCGGTTGGCTTGGGTGAATCTGCCAGGCTGAACAGTCTAGTCTTCTTGATAGGTTCTGCTGGATTTGCAGAAGATTTGCGGCTGCTTGTTGTTTTTATTGTCCCTTCCGCCAATGCATCGCCCTCTTCATACATCCATTCAGGGGACTCCGTCGAATCCATGCTCGGCACTGAGCAACTCGGTGTCAACACTGCATGATGCTAACAAGCGCTGCCAACAAAAGATCACATGAGAACGATCCCCTGAATGTAATCAGGTGCTACAAAATCTTCCACAACTATTGGTGCTTTGGATAGGGGAGAGGTATACCTACAAGATTGCGATGAGTCTCTTGACACCGAGTTCTTTTTCAGAGTCAGCCTCATTTCCAGTTGCCATGAATTTAATCGGGGAAGATAGGTCAAGGACGTTTAAACTTGAGTGACGCGTGTGTGAGCGCACGAAGAGGGTCCTTGTCCGATGTGTGGAAGAACTCGAGCGAGTTATGCTTTGGCCAGAAAGGTGTCTACTTACATTGACAGAGCGACTTGAGCTCTGATCCTGATGCAAATACACAAATGGTTCGACAAGAGGTAAAATTGCGACGGGACAACAAGCTACACCTCGCAACACCAGATGCGACTAGTGAAGCTGCACCGTGCAAGAAAAGCGGGATACGATCCGTTGAGATGCTAGCCAGCTGTAGAGATTGGAGCCATAAGGTGTCTAAAAGTTGAGTGGTCGGTGGTCGTGAGGGAAATGGGACGAAACGCGGACATCACACCCTACAAAACACACTAGCCAAGCGAGCAGCAACTCCACGAGAGGAGCCTGGCGGTATCCACCGACGTTTGGAATGAGAGACCTATTTGACCTAGCACATCTTCCAGGACGCATAAAGCTTCCTTGAGGTGTCCTGAACCCGACCAATGCTCTGAATGTCCGGAGTGCAGGAGAAGCCTTGACAGCGTTCTTACAAAAGTGCATAGTTTCACTCCACCAGCAGGAATTTTGAGTGGCTTCGAGTTGCATACCCTATGTTCCTAGGCTGACATCTCTGCCACCAGACAATTCGTATCCTGGCCGAGCTCCGCGAATAGGAGAGTATCAGCACCAGGTCAGGAGAGACTCTGTGATTGGTTCCAAAGAATATATCGTTCAACTCGAGGGCTTCGGACGACAACGCCAAGGGCACAGAACATTGTTCGAATGGCCAAGTCTCAGTACAGGAAGTATCAGAATCTCACGCGCGGGCTTCGTTCGATTACCCCAACTTTGAGTGAGACAGACCAGTAAGTGGATATCGAGTGGCATTAAGATCGTCTAGATACGGAGCCAACTGCATCTTTCGTCAAAGTAGACTGCATATTGGATGTGGATCGAATCATACCATCGACTGTCCAGACCTTTCTGCAAAGTGCCATGGTCACGGTACGAGCGCACTGTTGCTGCCAGATGGAAACTGATTTCAGTGAGGTTTCTAGAACGCTTTTGACGAACGTACCAATTCTGCACCAAACAGGCAAGAAGCCCCCTCTAAGTTAGGGCATCTGGAATCACCTGGGACTCCAGCACCTGATCTGCGTCCCTTTTAAGTCAATCCCAAATCATACTCGCTAGGCGCTTTCCTCAAAACCCACGCATCGTCGAAGATGATACGTAGCGTTCTAGAGAGCAAAGAGTCAAGAGCGAACAGACAGCATTAAGCATCAAAGCAGCGCTGGGCGAACGCAAAGCATCCATGGTGCATATGATACCGGCTATCTCATTACATCATTATAAGCACGTTGAACATCCTTGCTGGACCGCTGGTTTCCTTTGGAAAGTGGCCTACGATGACTGAGATGTTGGGCGTACGGTCAGGAAAAAGGGTGCAAAGCGGCTCACGTTACGCAATCATCACCTCAATCCACGGTAGGCGCTCTTCTCAAGTCTGGCCGAGAATGTTGTCATTGGTTTACAGAAGGGCAGGTGCATAGTCTATCGAGATACTCGGTGCTCATGACCTGAAGGGTGATCTCGATAAGCCGCCAACCAGAGAAAGTGGAAATTAGCGCGTGAGAACGCCAAATGTGGAAGATTGGGAAAACGTTTTGCTTCAGACACTTGGTGGAAGTTGGAAAAGTTCACAGGAAGTAACGTGGTACCAGGTCCAGTAGTGGTAGCTGAAGCTATTGCCAGCCCTGCTTCGCTGTGGTCAATTTGTGTCTCACAGTGGCATTGATGCAGAGGAAACCGAGCCAACCGGTAGAGACGCATCCGTGACCCATCCAACCGTCAGCAGCCACTGACTTACGGCTAGAACAGGAAAGGACGCTAGCTTCGTATTTGTTGCAATCAGTCATAGGACATGATGCACCTGTGCGGTGCAAATCACTCAGTCGAACTAGATTGATTCATCAGCCTAATTCCAGTTGCAAAGTGTAAGTGAGCAAACCGGAGTCAGGAAAGATTCTGCCACGAATCTTGCCCGCGCGTTCAGCTGTTCAGACAGTCAGATCATTGCGTTCAGCGAGAGGAGAGACACTTAGACTGTGGTATGGTAGTCTGCGAGGATCCAGGAAGACGTACAAAAAGCTTCATCTCGGATATCTCTTTATCTACCTCTTCCATGAACTGTATAATGAAATCAACCAGCTTATGCTTCAGCATCTCCTCCGTATGGGAATTCGTTATCAAGAATGATATGTCATATCCCTAACAAGAAATATCAGCCCGAGCTTTATTTCCCAAGGAGATCACAATGACCTCGGCTGACCTTTACAGGCTTTCTCCGTAGTATGAAGAAAGCCTCTGCTCTCTGCGTCAGAAATCTCGTGAATTTGTGTACTAGTATGTTCTCGATTTCATCTGCCTGCTTGATCTTAATGCTGACTCGTATACTATTGATGCTCGGTTCGATCAAGACTTTCTCGTTCTCGTTGCGGGAGACGGTCAATGGGTTAAGGAGGACTTCTGGAGAGCTGGCGGCTTCGATTTCGGGGACGTTATGGCGTTCAGATGTCTGGGACCCGAAATTCGAAAGGGATAATGCGGCAGTCAGGGAAGACCGGACGCAGAGGAGGTAAGGACGGAGGGATTGAGACTGGGAAAGCAGGTTAGCTTTGTAGAGAAGAGGGATAGAGAGGCATCTGACCATTGCCTGGAATATGACCTTTTTTATCCTCTGTTACACCCATGAAAGTTCTAGACTTGCTAGATGTCTAACAGGGCAAGCCAGGCAGGTTCCCTTTGAAACCCAAACGAATTACGTTGCTCCAGTATGGTCGCTGCCTGAGCCCAAGTGTGAGAACGGACAAAAGCAGCACCACGACACTGACCGGTTAATCTTCGGCAGCTCCCAATGTGACTTTTTGCCCCAGCTGCCAGTAAACATAGTAATACTTACACTCCGGGCAAACAAATCTTTACGTCCGTGAGTTGGCAACAGCAGCTACCCATCATGTCGGCGATTCAGGGTGAGACCCGAAACTCCCCAATTTCCATGCGAGCTGACTCATATAACAGTGTTTGTGAAGCACCAAGGCAAGAAGCATGAGGTGGAGCTGGACCCTACATCGACAGGAGAGACCTTTAAATACCAGCTATACTCCCTGACAGGTGTTGAACCAGACCGTCAAAAAATCCTCATCAAAGGTGGCCAGCTCAGAGATGAAACCGAGCTCTCGAAGCTTGGGGCGAAGCCCGGGCAAACCTTCATGATGATGGGCACTCCAGCGGAGAGTGGACGCGTGGCCCTTGAGCGACCAAAAGAGAAGATGAAGTTTATGGAAGACATGACAGAAGCAGAAGCGGCAAGTGCTGAAGGGGCAACGCCCGCTGGCCTGCAAAATCTGGGTAACACGTGCTACATGAACTCGACGCTACAGACTCTACGCGCCGTGCCGGAACTCCAAGAACAGCTTTCGAAGTATACAGGAGCAAGCTCGTCTCGGGGGGTAGATCTTAGTCAATACGGCCTACAGGGATCAGTCGACCTCACCAGCTCTCTTCGAGACCTATACAAGCAAATGTCCGAGACACAAGAAGGCTTCCCACCATTGATCTTCCTCAACGCTCTACAGACAACTTTCCCCCAGTTTGCAGAGAAGTCAAGGACCGGCCATGGCTATGCACAACAAGATGCCGAAGAAGCATGGACACAGATCCTATCCCAACTACGGCAAAAGCTCAAGATCAAAGCTCCTCCAGTCCCGTCGACCTCATCGTCTTCTGCCGAAGAAACAAAAAACGCACGAGAGATTTCCTTCATCGACAAGTACCTTGCCGGCCGCTTCTCCTCGACTCTCACTTGTGACGAGCCAGCAGCAATCGAAGCAGGCGAGGAGCCTATTCTGAGCGAAGATGCTTTCCTGAAATTAGACTGCCATATCCTCAATGCCACTAATCACCTTCGCGACGGCATTCTCAAAGGTCTTGAAGAGAAGATCGAAAAGCACTCTCCAATTCTTGACCGCGATGCCCTCTACACCAAAACCTCCCTAATCTCGCGTCTCCCTAAATACCTCACAGTTCATTTCATCCGCTTTTGGTGGAAGGCTACTATTCGTAAGAAGTCGAAGATCATGAAGAAGGTGACCTTCCCAGCGGAGTTGGACGTGGTAGAGTTCTGCACCGAGACGCTGAGAAATCAGCTGGTGCCCGTGCGTGACAAAGTCCGTGAAGTGCGCAAGGATGAAGAGGATGTTGTGCGGGCCCGCAAACGCCAAAAGTTGGCGCATAAGCAAGAACAAGACCGTGCTGCGGACGAGCTGAAGGCGAAGGGTCCGGCGGACGAGAAGAAGCTGGTCAATGACAAGGCAGCCGAGAAGGAGGGCGATGACAAGGAGATGACAGACGCTGTGTACAAGACAGACGCCGAGTACGACTCCGAGCGAGCTGCATCGATATTAGCAGCTAAGAAAGAGCTTTTCGGTCTCATCAACCCAGAGCTCGCGGCCGATGAAGGATCTAATAAGTCTGGACTATATGAGCTCAGGGGTGTGGTGACTCATCAGGGGGCCAGTGCAGATAGCGGACACTACACTTCGTATGTCAAGAAGCAAGGACCGATAGATCATGAGACTGGCAAGAGGAAGGAGGAGGATGGCAAGTGGTGGTGGTTCAACGATGAGAAAGTAAGCGAGGTCGGGACGGAGAAGATTGAGTCATTAAGTGGTGGTGGTAAGTCTTGCATTCCGACACGACAGGGTTGTCTGATGCTAATGACTGTGACAGGCGAGAGTCACTCTGCTTTGATCCTCCTCTATCGTGCTATCGACTTGCCAACAGCTGAAGAAGTCAAGGAGTAGCTGGCAGGCATGAAAAAGTTTGCATATACAGATGTTCCATCTGCGTTCTCTGCGATAGTGGATTATACGATAAATAATTGCATAGCGGCAGAGGAGAGCAGCCGTAGATCATCGATCGCAGGTGCCTCGGGCATCGTAGCGAATGCATCTATGATTTTAAGAACCCTTTTCTGAGCCAACCACTGTTTCGCCCTACCTAAACGTGCACGTGAACCTGACAGACTGGGAAGTCGGAAAAGAGTATCGAGCGTTTGGATGTTAAAGTCGCTACTGACCAGCCATTTCGGGTTCTGATTGATTTAACTTCAAGGGGTCATCTATCATCGAGACGGATGATACGTTACGGTTGTGCCTGACAAAAGAATACAAGATACGATTTATAAGCGATGTAGTATGCCTTGAAAGTGATATGGTTTTTACAGTATTTTCTCCTTTTTACATATCTCATCATCAATCGACATTCGCCGTACTGCTTTTTGACTTCCAAGCTCGACCAGTCTGCATTTACCCTGGCTGGCACTCACAATTCCTGCGGCTTCTCGTTGCCCATCAAAGGCTCAAGCCTCTCTTTGAGCTCCTCAACCGTCATCTCTCCACCATCCCAGTGCTGCACGCCACGGTCGACAGCCTTCGGTGGGACGAGCACATTACTTACGACGTGAATGACACCATCTGACGCGATCCCATCCTCGATCGTGACGGTGGAGAAGGCGTTAATCTTAATTGTAATGTAACGGCCATAGCGGGCGACGTCAACGCTGAGAGACTTGTCGTCAAGAAGAGTCTTGAGGTCAATCTAGGCATTGAATTTAGCCAAAAATTTGACAGAGCCTACGAGCAGGGGACATGACTTACGTGGAAGAAACCTTTGGGGATGCCATCTTTTTCCATGGAATTGTCCACAGATTCAGACTTGTAGTAAGCATCAGAATACAGTGTCTGATTGGCGACGACGTGATACTCTAGAAGAGCCTTCAGGTATTTCTGACCATATTTGCTAAAGAGGAAGCCGTTGATCTTCGGACCCAGCTTCTGGAAGGCGAAGTTGGAGGGGGCGAAAATTGTTCCACCAATATGGTTCGAGGTGTCCGCGATAGCGGGCAGAAGACCGGTTTTTGTGAGGCCGAGTTCAAGGGTGCTGAACTCGCCAGGGAGGAACTGAATGATGCTGGCAATCTTTGGGGGTGGGATCAGTAGGCTATCAACGCCATGGATAACGCCGTTCGTTCCAAACTGGACGTGGTCAGCTTCCTCTATCGGTAGGTGTTGGAAGACGTACGATATCAATAGCAACAATGCGGCTGTAGAAGTTGACTGTTAGGCCTTTCAGACCAATCTCCGTAGCCAAGCGCTGTGGCCCAATGCCGAGCGTGTCAACCGAGAGCAGGGTCGGGACGGTGTGTGTGACCAAGACTTTGCCTGCTGGGTAGAAGTCTTCCGAGACGTGGTAAAGTAAGATTTTCTTGAGTTCCTCCTTCGATGGCTTGGGGGCATGCTCCGGGATTTTCTCGAACGCTTTGTCAGTTGGCGCAAAAACAGCTGCAGGGTCGCCAGTCAGCGTTCATGCTTGACGATCATAAACATCAATTCTAGAAGAAGACATACTATAATTTGAAGCGGTGCCATTGAGGAGCTCAACAACATCCTCATACTCGTCGATCAAGGCGGCGAGCTTGGTGGTGTACTTGCTCTTGGAGATGAGCTCATACACAGTCAGATTCGGCTTCTTGCAGTGGCCATGATGACCCTTGCGGCCTTTGCGGCCTTTACCACCGTGATGCTCCTCGTCATCCTCGGAGGAAAGGACAACTTCTTCTCCCAGTTCCTGAACCCTGTCGGTGGCAGAATCTAGCCATGAGCTGACATGGTAGGCAGTTTCGTAGGCCTTGTCCGAGACCTCTTCTGTAGTCTCCGTAGCGTATTCGATGGCGTCGTCAAAGGCATTTTTGGAGGTGTCTATGAGCTTAGTGAAAGAGTTGTGGAACTGCTTGATCGCCTCGTCTTTAGAAGGGATTTTTTCAAGGAAGGAATCCGGGGCTCGGTCAGATTCAATGGCTACCTGGCTCATGACCTGCTCGTCGGGAATCACAAACGCAGTGGAGAGAGCCGCAATCGGCAAGATGTGGATGAGCTTCATTATTGCTGGAATATGGAAGGTGATATTGAAGAAGGAGAAAGAGAAAGAGAACCAAAGCTGATGCCTAAGTACCTTAGGGAGGGAGTATACTTTAAGTACGGGGCGATGATGACAGGCTAAGACGCGGCAAGGTTGACATCGATGACGACGCCGGATCTTTAAGTGTCCGGATCTTTAAGTGTCCGAAATCCGCAACGAAATCCCTGCGTAGATCAGCAAACTCCACGAATTACTTAGGCACAGGCCGAGCGGCACCGTCATTCTTCCTCATCCCGTGGAACATGGCAACTGCAGCGCCTTTGATCGTACCCGCGTTGAAGAAGCATACAGCCACGGTGATATGGGCGCATGGATTGGGGGACAGGTAATATAGATGCTAGTACGACTTCCCAGCGACTTCGTTAACCTTTTTACAGTGGAGCAGGCTGGTACGGACAAAGCTCTTTTCGGAAGCCGTTCTTCTTTAATGGCTACAACCCTGGACTCTGATGATCCTACAGGATGCCAATTGCAGAGAACTTCAGAAGACGAGGCAAATTCAGTGAATGTGCCTTCGTCTTCCCTAACGCACCAAATATACCAGTGACTGTAAATTTTGGGATGGAAATGCCCGGCTGGTATGACATTGTACGGCCACGCGTTCGTCTTCTTGTGCTGAGCGGATCAATCTCTCATGATGGCTAGCGATGCCGATGACCAAGTGCTGACTGGGATTTTTAGACAACATTCGGCGATCTTGCTCAAGCTCACGACCAGTGAGTCATTTGCTCCCTGCAATTCCTGCCAGATTCCTACTGTGTTTTGAGTTACGACACTTGCCACAGGAGTAGAGGATTCCCAGAAAACAATTCATGATGTGAATTGACCTCAAAACAAACATACTGACACCGAAATCGATCAGGCCCGGTATCCTCAAGTCCCGCGATTACTTCACCTCTCTTATCAAAGCCGAGATCGAGAAGGGTATCCCGTCCTCACGCATCGTACTGGGTATGAACATCTCTGCCTCTACGGGCCCAGAGTCTCTGCATTAACACACTATAGGTGGGTTCTCTCAAGGAGGAGCAATATCCCTCTTCACTGGCATAAGCGTAAGGCACTTTTCGGACTTGTATCTTCGTATCTGATACCGAGTTTCCAATTACGAGACATGTTGCGGGAGCAAACTACTCGTCCTGCCACGCATTATACGCCCTCACCATGTTTTATGACGTGAAAATCTATCTCTAAATCGGAATGCTGACTCTGAGGTGTGCTAGTGTCCCGATAAACTCGCCGGCATCTTCGGCCTCTCAAGCTACCTTCTCCTACATAATAAGATCAGAGATTACGTCAAATCAGAGAGCGCAAACAAAAATACGCCCATCTTCATGGGCCACGGAGATGTGGATCCTATGGTAAAGCACGAGTGGGGCCTAGATACATCGAAGACACTGAGAGAAATGGGGTGGATAGTTGACTTTCGGACTTACAAGGGACTGGCCCATTCGGCGGACCCCAAAGAGATCGATGACTTAGAGAAGTATCTGGAGGAGAGGCTGCCGCCTCTGAGTTGAACAGGCCGGGCCGGACCACAACGGATGATATGTTAAAGTGCGGGTTCGGAGTGGCCTGGGTCTTGTCACAACCCTCCTCTTACCCCCTCTGCCGGAGAGTCTGTCCTTTTGGCGCTCAGAAGTACTGAGAGGATGTCAATCGAACAAGTAACCCAGGGCAGGCGATTGACTGGTTGATAATTTATCATTATTTGCAAATGCAAAATTGACAGACACTCTGGCGATATTGATGCATCTTTTAATAATGCTCTTTGAAGGATTTAACGTCCTCACTGCAAGAGACGGTGAGCTGTCAGACTCCTCCGAACTTTGCTCGCGGTTCAAGATATCCTCCAAGGTGCTCTTATAGACAGTTGTGGACAGCTTTGAAGGCGAGCAAAGCATCTTTCTCTTAAATACGTGCTGTCATGGAATCCTTTTTTTGTGGTTGGGTGTAGTTACATCTGCTCCAATCAGGCCGCCGTTTTACAACTTGACGAAGCTGTCAAGCATGCGGCAAGCCGAGACACGGAGCATGCATGAAACCACAAAAAAAAGAGGTGTGTATCTGCCTAGTCTGGTTGCATGGAACTGAGATTTCACACTTACGTACATACCTCTCCACTATGATTTACTCTTTGCTCAGATTCAAGTTCTACTTTCTACTCTATCCTTTGGAGCTGAGCATGGCAAATACTAAAGAGGGCAATGCCAGTGTTGGCGATTCAATAGCCAAGGCTAAATCTGGCTTGGGAAAATGTGGGCAGAACAAGATCTCGGGTTTCGAGGTGGCTTCATACTACAATTGGCTTGACGAGAAGAATCCAACAATGCTGGTGCCAGTTCAATATCCGTATTGTTCTTTTTGTGCTTTGGTCCAAGTGGCTTCACTAAATCTCGACAGCTTCAGGCGTACCCCCAATGTGGAGTCCACCAGCCACTGCTCCAGCTCTGAAGCCAGACTTTGGTCCTCGGTACATCGACCAGAATACGGACCGGAACCCGAGCTCGCCTTTGAATCCTTTCGTTCTGGCTGTTCAGACTAATCAGCCGGACTTCGACTTCGCGGCCGTCGACGTGGTTAGTGATCGTAGGTCACTCCGCAAGCTATCTCATCGACTGGCAGGGTGCAAAATTCAGGGGTTCAGAGTGAAAGTCAGAAAAACCGTCGTTGCAATTCAGTGTTGTCCAATAACGACTGCGTCCACAACAAAACTCTCAGTGTCGAGCATTCTTTTCTTAAGCAGATCCAAGACTGCAGTAGATCATTCCTTTGTAAACCTTGCCGTTCAAAAAAATTTGTGTTGCAAAGATAACGATTTTGTGATGTCTCGCAAAGACATTTTACACTCCAGGCGCCAGTCCATGCGGTATGGCTTCGAATCAGATGCTTTTAAGTTCGGCGTGGAAATTGTAGGCAATACCGCTCTCTTATTCGGATCGAGAAGCAGACTCGCGAAGAGCTGCCGAGCACAATGTTCCATGGCTACCGTCAGGCGTTCGGGAACCTGTATAGTCAGCTTTCAGAGTCTGCTAAGGGTGGCACTTCGTCATCGTATCGTGCGATACAGATTCGGGGTTTTGGGTTTACTCGTCCGCTCAGAAGTCGACGCCTACCTGCAGGAACGTGTGAAGGGGCCAGACTCTCCGAAAAAGGCGAATGCAGGGGACCTTCTCAACCATGCTGACTTTGTGAAGACCTTATCGCTTGGCAGCCGGCCTACAGCCCCCACAGAAACAAAGGAGAAACCTAGCAGCCGAGTAACCGTAGTTCAAGGCGGACACAATGTACCCCCTGCGGCAGTGTTGGAGTTGACAACGCGCTCCGAACCCGCCAAACGTACTTCTGACATCGAGCAGAAGTTGGCCGATCTGTGGTTTTCTCAGACTCTTTACTTCATTGAAGCATACTACCGGAGCGTCGGATACATATTATACAACCAACTAAGGCTTCAGCAGGGAAAGTTCGAAGATATTAAGGCGAAGTCAATCGGCGACCAGTTGACCAAATGGAAGACGGCTAACGCAATTGGGTTGAGAAAGCTAGTGACGGTCTTAGGGGGGATTGTTGAGGAGGTCAAGAAGGCACAGGGCCCTTGCATTGTGAGATCTCTGATACTCCTTGCCATGCTTGTCCAAGGAATTGAAGTCGTTGTTCCATGAGAAGTGCAAGGGTCCCAGGAAAGCGCGTTCGAACTTGAGTAGCGAAACATGAGACTCAGAAGCATGGTATCGTAGCCTAAAACTTATTCCCTTTTTGTACTCCAAATAGATTTCGCTCCTCCATTCACGAGTACCTTCCAAAGTGCTAAGGGACACCTTCTCGAGCGGTCGGTATTCTAAACTTGCCCCCGGTGGCCCCCTCCTGCAACCCCCTCAATCAACATCACGATGGCCAAGCTGTTTATCCTTCTCAACATACTCCCGACCTTTCTGACGGCCCTCGAACTCTTCACCTACTACATAGTAATCGACGGGACCTATTCAAGATATCCAAACCTTTACCCAAAACTCTGCCCGTGATTTGGTCACATTGGTCACTCGGTTAAGAAGCTAGAGATGACCGCCCTCAGAGCTGGGGACGAGTTTCCCAAGGGCATTCACTTCAGGTACGCTCTTCATGCTGCCCCCACGGCCGCTGTGCACCTACTGAGTTTCAGCACTCCCTCGCTGCAGCTGGGTACCCTACACAGAAGAGAAGGAGACTATCACATCCTGCGGCATTCCTCAGACATACAACGCCAGCAAGAAGTTTGCAGACAGGAAAGTAGTGCTCTGCGGTACGTGTTTTCGGAGTTTATCTTTCCCCTTTTGGACCAAGTCTTGAGTCTTGAGACATGTCTCGTGAGTTTCGACTCTGTAGACATGTTCCAAGGCTCAATGCAACCCCTCGAATAGGCAATCCTGACTCCGAAATTATAATCCAGCTGTCCCAGGGGCCTTCACACCTGGCTACTCGGTCCGCCACCTTCCTGACTACATTGAACATCTGAAAGATATCAAAGGCAGAGGCGTTGATATTGTACTTGTAGTTGCTATGAATGATGCTTGGATCATGAGCGCTTGGGGGAAGGCCAATGGCGTCAAGAACGACCAGATTGTGAGCCTAAGACTCAGCAGGCTGATACTGCGTCGCTGGCTGATAGGACTTTAGATGCTTATGTCCGACCCTGACATAGCGTTTCGAAGAGCATAGGCTGGACACGTGGGGCAGACAGGACTGGGAGATATGCAATGGTAATCGATCACGGGAAGATCGTATATGCAGAGAACGAGCCTGGCGGGGATTTTACGGTATGTCTCGACGAGCTTGAACGAATTGTGACTGCACAAAAGCTAATCTTTGTGCTCTAAGGTGTCTGGCGCCGAGGCCATGCTTTCAAAGCTCTGAAGCGGACAGCAGCAGAGGCTGGCAGATGATTTGCCCTGGATCGCAGAAGTGTCGGAGACGTAGGGTTGGCGGATCGATGAATGAACAAAAGCTTCAAGACTTGGACAGGGGTGACTTGTTGCTCGGCGAAATGGTAGACGATAGGATACTTAGTGTCGCTGAGGATGTGCTGTAGCTACCTCGTACTCGGAGCACACTCGGACGTAACGGGAAGCCAACTGACCTGGACTATGTACACCTCACCATGTGCATCCATATCTGGCTTGGTTATAGTTAAGAGACTGTAGCAAAAGTTGTGTAGTGAGGGAAGTTCGAATTCCTTTCTTTTCATTTGCGCACATTGTCGTTGGTGTCAACCAGAACAGGTCGGCTCTTTTTGTCAGGATACTGAATACAGACAGTCAAACGCATCACAGTCAATCCAATTGCAGATAACATGAAGAACGCGCCTGGATTGTAGGACTTTCAACAAGCTCATTCAGAGACTTCGCACTCTATGCATGACCTTTGCCACATTATCTGATCATTAGTATATCAGAGGTCTGGCCCCAGGAAGAAGTACGTGAAGGCACACAGCACCAAGTAATAAAGAGAGCTCTAGCCGCTCGTGCACTCTGCTGAGATAAAATCTTTTGGAGAATGGATTTCATCTGCTGATGATGACTTTCTGGGAGGCATTGATCGTACGCACATTCGGAAGGGAGTCATCGATCAGACAGTCTCCAGTTATTTGACAAAGGATCACACGCGTATGTAAAGTAGTGCTGGTGATCCAAAGAAAGCACCTAGCTTCGTCGGTTTTCCATACTTTTAGTGCTCGCCCAGCGGGCTTGGCAGTCATTTCCTGCGGAGCCTCCTCTGATCTTCCAAGCTCCACCTCCTCCAAATTTGATGAGCGTATAATACTGATCTTTACGATCACAACCACAATGTTCCGCTTTCATAAGTCCCTCGATGTAATAAGTAAGTCCTTGCAAAATCTGGGTTGCCAGACATATCTCGATGACAACGGAGCTTTTTCTGTTCACCGACTAATCTCCAAACCTGTCCAACAGCTCCCCATCTATGTTCAAGAAATGACACTAACCTAAAATTCTCCCAGCACTCTTCCACAAGCCTTCAGTACCCGCCTCCCTCCGAGTCCTCACCCTTCTCAAACAGATCTCCGCCCATGCCTCTGAGACTGCAACCGAAGACCAGGCTACAGACCACACGCATCAGAACAAGCTTCAGCGTACGGAATTTGAATTGAACATCACAGAGGACCCACCAACGGGAGATCAGATGAGGACGATTCTAGAATATCTTGGGGGTTGGAATGCAGGTCGGCTAGTCGAGGGGGCAAAGGATTCGGGAGATGTCATCAGAAAGCTGGGAGAAAACCCCAAGACATTCAAGCCGCCCGTGGTGAGTGCGCCGTTGCACTGGGATTTGAAGATAGAATACTAATTGGCCTGTAGACTGTGGACTGGAATAACGGTAACGTTGGTAGGTCGAGGCAAGTCGATTGGCACACATACACGTACTGATCATCTTATCAGTCGTTGGAGATGATGAGTCCGAGATCCTGAGAATGATTTCTCAGTTACCGAAAGAGACTGGTTCTGTGTAGGATAGGGAATTTGCTGGATGGAAGGGTGTACAAGGGAATACTAATTGCTTTGCTGACAAACGAAAGCGCCACTGCGATGAAATGCATGCTACAATCAGCAAATGACGAGACCGCCATGTTGAATCGCTTGAGCATTCCCATTAACTCGCTGAACCCGTAAAATACTGAAGATTCAAAGACCGAGAGAGTGGTTGCTCTTCCCGGCGACGCATCAGGAATGAGTGTTGAGTCATTTACCTCCCTTGAATTGAAAAACCAGGCATCTTGTTGTGATAACAAAGATGGATAATGAGTGAAGCTATGGTGTCGAGCCGCTGGTCAATTGAAGTGAAGCAACCGTTATCAAAAGCAGCTAATTCCATATTTTGCTCTCTCACGTCAGAACACTTACGCTGTCCCCAACCACAATGCCAAGGCGTAATTGAATCTTCACACTTCTACCATCTTCCAACATCTTCAATCTGTAAGAGTTGGGTGACCCTCAAGAAGCGAGCCATCGGATTCCTTTCATCCAGTTCTCTAAGAAGGGTAACTGCGGTCAAGCAATTACGCAACGACCCTGCTCCACTGCGACGACGGTTGCTACTTCCACCAGCACCACTGTCATGACACATTGAAGAGCTCCCACTAGCCTTGGATACCGGATCCCCGCCCCATGACTTTGTGCTTGGATGCTGTCAACACTTAGGTTTCCAAGATCGACAACACGGCCTCCTAGAGCATAGAGCATTGAAGCATCCTTGCATCTGCTTTTTCACATCATCATCACCATGGCTTACCATTTCGATGGGAAGGCCATCTTTTCTACGTGCAACGGCGAATATGCTCGACGCGAAAAGATCCCTAGCATGCGAACCATCCTCAGATCTAATCCCATCGAAGACCAGCAGACTATGGTATCAAAGCTTCAGAAAGACTTTCCAGAAGTATGTAAAGCGATCACTGCGCCGGTTACGGACACGGACGTGTATGAATACTTTGACTACTGCGACGCTGCGGTCCATGGCTTTGAGTTCCTTCGCGCAGTCCTGGAGTACATTGCCGGACTCAATGCAAGCGTCAGCGCCCAAAAGGCAACGAGGGTCCAGGATTATGTGGGCCGTTGGAAAAGCGCCAATAGTGAAGCCTTCACATACATACGACCTTACCATGCTCTCACCGACCTCTTTACCAAGGAGGACATCGAAGAGCATGGGATTGAATTCCTAACAGAGGCGATGATGCAGATCAGAAATCTGAAAAAGCAAGAAGACCACGATGGTATGACTATCTTCCTTGTAAATGAGGCGCATACGCTGATGATCACTTTGCAGAAGCTCGTCAAAGCGCACTTCGTCTCCAGATACAACATGCACATATGATGCACAACCAACGCAGTTTCACACAGTTACAAGCGCCAGCGCGGTCCCCGTTCCCTATAAAACTCTCCGCTGCGCAGGGCATGAGAGCAAGCTCCAATCCAGAGCACGGTCAGCCTCAACAGCAAGGAGGTTTAGTTCGCCACTTGCCTGGGCCTCCAGGCAAATGCCCAACTTCGCAAGCACGTTTTCCTCTCCCACGTCTCACGCCATCAACAGAGGTCTTAGAACATGTCTATCCCGGAAGCACAAGCCGTGGGGACTTCCATAGTGATCCCATAACTCACTACGCCATGGATGCCCACATTTCCTGGCCTCCGGATAGTCATGTCGCCATACCGTCTCGAGGTCTTCCTGGTCCGTTCAGTTACCACCCACTGGCCCCTCCGACCCAACCTGTTCCGCTCCTTAGCCGTATAGGAACTTTCGATGGTAATCTTCCCAAGGGAAAGAAGAACCCCAAGAAAACTTCCTCAGACGATGCCCGAATGGTGTCCAACACGGAAAATGGCCCACGTCAGGCATCCAATGGTGCAAACCCGAAGCGATCTTTTGCTCTTCAGAACATACAATTGCCATTCTATCCTCGATCGCCTGATGCCATACCGTTGGGCCAAGAAATACGCCCTTCTTCAGGAGGTGTGCCATATTCTGGTTACTATCAACAACCCAACTTGCCTCCAGGTCACAACTCAGGCAACGGCCAGGAGACATTTCATCACCCGCCTGACTATGGACAGATGTCAATGCAACCTGCAATGGAGGGTCGTTCACGTGTAGTGTCGAACCCTTACTCGCCAGCTGTGCATGAACTACAGGGACCAACCCAAGATCCGCGTCCCACAGTACTAAACCTTCCCATACCAACTAATGTGCGGCACCAAGGAGCCAGTGCAAAGGGACAAGCGTTCGAAGAGAACGCCGGCTTTGTTTCGACACAGGTGCGACCACACCACTCCCAGCCGCTAGACCCACACGCCTTTGGACACCAACTTCCAGATCGTCAAATGGACGCTCAAGATCGACAAGACCCGATCCCAGAGTTCCAGAGACCCGCGCTCGCCCCCATGCCAAACGCTAGTCAACCCCCATTTCCGCGAACCCCAGAGCGTTCAAGGGCAAATGAAAATCCTAGACGTCCAGTGCAGGAGGGCTGCACGATCTGGATCGGTGGACTACCAAAGGACTTCGACAAAGCTGCTGTGATGCATCTACTTAGACCGTGTCGAGGGCTCCTTGACGTTAGTGAGCCCAGGGAATCTTCGCCAGTAAAATATCACATTAATCGTTCATTTGCATTTGCAGAGTATGTTATACCCGTCAGCAACATCGTACGCAGTACTAACGTCAGCAACCACAGCTTCCAGAGCCCTGTTGATGCTGCCGAAGCACTGGAACGTCTACCTCAAACGCGATTTGCGAGCTTACCCGAAGGAAGTTTCCTCAGTACAAACTACCCCAGGCCCAAGTTGTACGCGTCACCAGGCCACTATCAGCATGGAAGCGACGGAGAATCGAAGCGGCCAGTATCCAATGTCTCGCCAACACAGTCATGCAAGGGCGAAGACTCCACTCGTGTAGGGAAATCAAAAATTGAACATGGCCGCAAATCATCGAAAGGTTCGGCTCGAGGGAAGAAACAGTCTACCAGCAGTTCGGAAGGAAAGACGGGAATACCTTCTGAGCGTGTCATTGCAGTGGACGTGGGCCAGAAGGAGTCAGGCCTACAGCCTCAAGAAGCAGTTGCAATTCCAGATTCTTATGGCAAAGCAGGATCAACGGCCCATGTGAGTCAGTCTGGTACAGACGGCCAAGTAGATTCGAGACCAATGAACCAGGATCCCGCACTCGTTCAGCCAGGCGCCAGCGTAGAAATGCATGCCAATCAGGCCTTTAAGTCTACCGGTGACGGGGTCGAGGAGATCGTGTCGGCCCTCACTGCCAAGCCCCAAGTTCAGCAGGGCCACCAAGCTTCCAGCTCGAGGCACGCTGAAGGCCGCGCAAAAGCCCCCAAGAAAAAATCTCAAGGTTCCAATAAGTTGCCAGGGCCCGATATTAAAGGGTCGGAGCCTCCCTTGGTACAACCTGCCTCTGGGAATTCGAAGCCAACAGCTCGGGCAAGGCCTTCTGCAAATGATGCTGGCAAATTTCTGAAGAAATCTGGCCGCTTGGAAGGAAATAGAAAGCAAGGTGGGTCCGAGATCGAAGCCAGCAACATGATAGCCCCTACAGTCCCTTTGGAATCCGCTTTTACCTTACCGAAAGATCTAGAAACCCCGGACCAGTCTTTTTTAGGCCGCAATCCAACGGAAGATGATGGCGAACAGCCGAAGGCTTCCGTTGCTAATCTCCCTAAACCCAGCAGTGGGGAGAACGATGAAGCGGAGGTGTCGGAAACCGCACCTGCACCTGGACCAGGGACATCTGCCGTGTCAGCAGTGCCTCTCGAGCCAATATCACAAGCAATGAGACGAGATGTCAGCAGTTCAACACAAGGATCTGCAGACACCGGCCCGTCCATCCTAAGCTCCACGACGCTGTCGTCTAGTACCCGGACTGAACGCTCGAACAGTATTACGCAGGAGCCATTGTCGCCTATGGATCAGGCAGCTTGTTCGTCGTCGGAGGCAACACTATTTCCTGGTTTTCGCGAGGCTGGGCAGACTGCTAGAGAACAAAAATCAGAACCCCTACCGAGCTTGGCGCCCTCCGAGACAGGGAAGGGCACCAAAGGTGTTCAAGGAGAATTGCAAAACCCTTCTAACGTCGAATCCGGAGGGTTCCCGTTAGGGCCGATCGAAGAGAATCCCGAGCAAGCTCCAAGCATGTTGTTAATGCAGCCTTCACCATCGCCTTCCGATCGGGCGATTCTGAGGAGCCCAGCGCGCAAGCGTGCACCGTCAATACCACCTCGATCCAGTTCTCTAGCGGCGCCTTTAACACCGATCAAGACACACCAGAAGAAGAAGCCTCGAAACTTCACACCTGTGAAGGAAGCACCTAGTGAAGACGATATGGGTACTCCCTCCAAGGTCACAGGTCTCGCCGTTGAAGGCACGAAGATGGGTTCGAGTGTGCAGACAACGGGAAATACGAAACTAAATTTTGCTGTCTTGACTGTTGACACTGGGGCGCGCCCCCTGCTGACCGACAAATCGAAGGACCTTCCCAAACCAGAGACTCCCTTCCTGATGGACGATGGAGTGAGAGTGGTCCCGCCAAAGATCAGTCATCAGACTGTGATGGAGGTCTCGAACGCTGACCGGTACTACGCGCAGAAGAACAACTACCAAGTCTTCCATCTGGTCAACGCGATGCATATCAATGCCACTTTCAACAGTCTCAACTCTTCCGATCCGACATCAACACATTCTTCCGAAACGAGCACTTCCGATCACGCCTCGACAAAGAAACAAAACAACGACCTTGAAACCATTCTGAGGGAGGCTGGTTTTCGAAGCCTCTCTGGCACCAGCCCGTTCACAATTAAAGACCCCGAACTGATTTTGCTTGAAACCATAGACGAGGGAGGGGACGCATTGGAGAAACACGCCAACAAACATGGGCCTATGCTGTCTTGGGTTGACGAGAAAGGCAAAATAGGACCAGGGATGAGTTTGGATGCATGGACCAAGCAACATGAAATGATCGAAGTTGTCAAGAAGGCAACTGCTGTGAAGCGACTTCTGGCTGGTTCGCCACCTTGGACCAAAATAGAGTCACTGCGACAGCAACTTTCGCAATTCGTCCATCACTCGTTCTCAGACGCACAGGAGCAGCAGACCACAAAGGCGGAAGCTCAGTCAATCCTGTGGGCCAAAGCGCTGCTGGACACAACTCCACAACGCGATTCATCAACCAGTGAGATGCAAAAGTGGTCAAGAAATGCCTCTCGTTTTGTGGAAAAGAATGCTTCCGAGCCATCGCCTGCTGACGCGGAGTGCCGGAAGGCTACAACCAATAGCCCTGGCAAGTCGTCCCGAGGCACGCCCTCGCAGAAGCAACAGCAACAGCGTCGGCACCCATTGCTTATCAACAAGCCGGATCCGCAAACCCTGGTCCGCGAGCTCGGGAAAGACAAGGATGCCTTTCAGACTGCCAATCCTGAATCGGACAGTTCTCTCACAAGTGAACATAGTACGGAATCTGAACCTTCACCAAGCACCTTCGGCCGTCGAACTCCTTCTGAAGAGCGACTAACGCCATCAGTAGCCCTCATACCATCTGTGGCTCTCAATCAAGTCAGCAAGCTGAAAGACATCTTCGCTGAAATGGGGGAAGATCGTCGACGTTGGTCTGATGATCGTTACCGGGTCAGCACCCCTCAAGAGGAGGACCGCATGACAACGTCTGATCCCCAGCTCAGACCCTTGGGTGGAGAGTTCGACGTGCGTAGAGTGACTGAGGTAAAGGATGAGGAGCCGGAACCAGAGGTCAAGGAGACGGAGGACGAAGTGCAGCAGAAGCCTCATGAGCATGGGCAGAGGGAGAGCAAGGGCAAAGAGCTACGCAGTGAAAATGAGAAGCAAGATCAGAGCGTAACCGCCACGTCCGAAGAAACCAGGGATTCTACAGCTGCTGGGTCAAAGGACACAGCTCCTGGAAATTCAGAAGATCCAACACATCAGAAGCAGCTTTCCTGGTCGCTCGGAGTGTCTTTTCCATCATTCGACAGCAACTTTACGACCAGCAACGAAGGCAGTTCAGGAGAAGCGCACCACACGCAGCTAAGAGGTGGGCACAGCCCCCTAAAGCGAAGTGGCTACAATGCTGTAGCTGGCCGGGGTATCGATGCAAAGCGAGGTGGAAGGAAGGAAGGAAGCAAGGATCCTTGGGCGCTACCACAAGGGGAAAAGCCCTGGGGCAGTGGGGGGGAAGAGCGGGGTGAAAAGAAAAAGCGTCAGCGTCAATAACTGGTTCCGAGTGTTGGATTCGGGATTGGCATGTTCGAAGGGCGTGAAAGCTTGGAAAACAGATGCAGAGAAGGCCAGGCGTTGGAGAGAGATAGAGCGTTGGATGCGGAGGAGGGTTTTGTATCTTAATATGGTATCTTTAGTAAGGAATGGAGTTGCACTAGCGATAGATAGGTATCACTCGCGTTTCTGGGGCATTCCTTCATCGTGTGAAGAGGCATTCGAGTGTTCACATGCTATGCTATTTGTACCCTGGCGCCCGTTTCTATCGTTCAGTCAGGAGACGCAGTCGCCATGTACCCCGTCTCTCGTAGGCATGACCCGTTTCATTACCATAATATTCAATGCTGCCTGCATTTTTCAAAGTCCCGGGAAGAAGATAGCTCGAGAAAAGACATTCGTGGCGCATGGCAAACATGTTGCTTGTAAAACAGACATTGAAGTGAAGAAAGAACTATCGAGCTCGTCACAAGATAGTGCCGAAAGAGCCATCTGTAGGGAGGGTCTTGCGGGGGCTGGTCGGCTTGCCGTTGGGATCGACGGTGGGTTTTCGGTGTCTGAAGGCAAGAGTCAGCACAGTAATCCTGTAGGAATACAAACTGTGGTTCGGGCATACCTGAAAGTAAAGCCAACAAATAACCCTTTGCCCATCTTCTCATCCCGATCCGCCATGTTCTCCAATGCAGTCTGCTTGTCGTGCACCTCCTTGTACTTGGCCATATCTGCCTCATTGCTGAAGTCATCGAAATAGCCTGCATCTGTTTCACCATCTAACTCGGGGACAAATGGGGCTCGCTGCTCTCGCAACTTCGACCAGTCGACTTCGGCGAAATAAGCGTGCTTGTAGATTTCGCTGATATTACGGAAGCGGTTCTTCTTCGAATTGACGCAGCGCTGGATCAGATCCCAGGTACGGGGAGAAAGGAAGTAAGTCGGGTCTTCAAACTTAGGTTTCTTGAGCACTTTGTCCCAGTGACGCAGATTGTGCCATGTTTCGTCGACAGTGGAACCTGCGAAGGGCGGGTATCCGGATAAGGCCTCGAAGAGCATGCAGCCGAGAGACCAATAGTCGACAGTGAAGTCGTACTCTTCGCCCTTGAGTACCTCGGGCGCCATGTAATCAGGAGATCCGACGATAGACTTGGCATAATTCACCTCGCGGTCACGCAAGCCTCGGTAGCCCTCACGTCGTTCGGCGACGGAGCGTTGGTCCATAGGGTTGCCGAAGGGCATGGAGAGCTGGCCGACTTCCTCAAGCTTGATTCGCATTGATTCGAACTTCTGTGGGGAAAGCATGCCAGCTGCGAGGCCGAAGTCTGTGAGCTTAACGTGACCGGTAGAGTCGATGAGGAAGTTCTCAGGCTTCAGATCCCGGTGAATGTAGCCTAGCTGATGGAGGGCATCAACGCAGCAGAACATCTCGGCGATGTAGAAGCGGCAGTGACGGTTGTGCAGTACACCAGTATTGTTGAGAAGTGTCCGGAAATCGCCTCCTGGGACGTATTCCTGAGTAAAGAGTCAATCTAGGCTCGAAACCAAAGACCAGAATATTCATACCATTGCCAAATAGATGCTCTTGTCGTCCTGGAATGCATATAGTAGCTTCACCAACCATTCACTTTTGGCTGCTGTCAGTATGTCCCTTTCTGTCAAGATATGCCTGACTTCATCTAATTTGAAGAGGAGCTTTTTGCTCATTACTTTCAAGGCACAGACTTCTCTGGTGTCTTTCTTGGCTGCCAGATACACCTGTCCATAGCCACCTTGACCGACTTGAGTGAGGATCTGGAAGTCTCCATGACGGAGTCTTGTGCGGCGCTTCCGAAGATTTGCCCGTTCTCTGCCCAAATACTTGTGTCTTGCCGCTTCGTACTCTTCTGCAGGAGTGTCTGGAGGGGCGGGAAACTGGGAATTGAAGAGCGCTTCACGACTCTGGCGGTGGTGCACGTAACTCAGGAGATCAAAGTAGTGGTCCAAGAAATCTAGAGACGTTAGATTTAGACATCATTCTGCTCACTGGCAGTACTGACAGAGCTGGGTAACGTTCGCAAGACGTTTCACTTTGGGCAATTGCAGCTTCTCCAGCTCTTCAGGTGTCAGACTTCTTTGAGGATTGCATCGTCCCTTGGCGCCAGAGTCTGTGTCCCTAGCCTGATATGGCTCCTGACGTGATACTGCGGCTTGATTGGGCGTCGCTGGTTTTGACTGCCGTATGCCTGGAGGTGTATTCTCCTTCCCCGACTTGCGAGTTGGACTTCCAGGGCCTAAGGCATATT